TGACACATATCTGCCCCTTGCATCAACAGGATTATTTGGATTTAACAAGTCTCCTGGTGATTTTAAGGATATAACCTCGACTTCATAGTTCTATTACTCTGTAACGCTTTCGAAATCTTACTCATTCACCTTTCAGTTTCAATTTCTAGACTGCCACACCTCTTCGTTATCAAGCGCTACCGTTTGTCAGTTATCTTTTATTATTAAATGTAAGTACATCCTGTGTACTTGCTGAGTCGCCGGCTCACCTTTTTCCCTTCCAGATTCTCGTGGCCACGACTAAACTTACACTATTCTATGCGCCCACTATAACAACGTACCTACAGACTAAGCGAAAACGTATCAACAGCTGGTCGTTACAACTGCTCTCAATATATTTGTCACCACGTGCACACACATGTAAATAGGCATACATAGCAAGAGGTGAACTAATCATCTATGCGGTGATGAGGTTTATTTTAAAGCATAGGTTTCGTTTTCTTGATAATATTGAGCTTAGTTGCATGGTATATCTATTCAATAGCTGAAGTGTATCTTCGTCTTAAGATCATGCTATTTGATTCCCCCTTTTACGGTAGCGTGATGTAAATGTGCTTCTTAGGGAGAGAATACTGATAAGTTCATGCAGTTGAGATCTTTTTTATAACGATTGGTAAACTTCAGAATAGTGGTCAAGAAGTTTAGTTATAACATAAACATAAATGAGGTCACCTGATATAGACGGAGAATAAGCACCAGACTTTGTATTAATTTGTAAGCAGTTGGGAGGTTTGAATTGTATAGGTGCATTGGGTTTAGGAAACTGGGCAATATGTATTCACAGCCAATCAGATGCAAGCTCAGCGTTAAGACTTAATTGGTAGAATCTCATGTATAAGGCAATTACAACTAGACAAAGTTATAGCAGAAATAGTACAGGAAGCAATGCTTTCTTCGGCCATCTGTTCAGTTTTTCTACAATATACAAATAGCTTATAGTTTTGATTACAAAAATGACTCATTAGCTTCATTCTTTAAAGGTAAACTTTTCCCATCAAGATATGTGTATTCACAGTAGCAAAAAAAGTATGCCCCAATCACACTAGATCGATTCATACTTTCACTCTTCATGCTTGAAACATTATAATTGACCTTATTCTAGTGTTTTATTGATGTATGCAACTGTCTGGTAATTTTATAGAAAAGGGTATCACCTTATTTGTGTTTACTAAGAAAGAAAGTTGTTTATTGCTACTGAAAATTACCGGATTATGGCTATACTACACAGAATTGATCAGTTTTTGTTTGTATATAGGTTAATGTATGTACGGAGGCATAGATAGTGTCTAAAATTCATTCAGGTGTAGTAGGAGTCTTTTCTTCCTAACATATTAAGAATACAACTGGAAGATAGAGATAAATGAGTGTAAACGACCAAAATGTAAACGCTTATTCTTAAAATTGTTATTAAAAGTAGTGGTAAATTACTTTTATGAAAGGCTTAAGGATAAATGTGTGAAATAGAACACATGATGATTCACATTACTGTTCCTGGTAGGAAATTTTTATTGAAGGCCTGATGTTTTGCCCATGACTTTAAAATCACTTATCATGATTGTTCTCACATCGTTATTAGTTTTTCTTCTCTCTCTTCTTATGGCTGAACTGTCTCTCTCTCTGATTAGTTGCTGACTATTTTAATCTATATGTGGATTTAGTGTTGTCAAGGTCATTTAGGAATGTATATATTCAGCACCACTGACTGCTGTTGAGACAGTTAAAAGCTGGCTGTCAACGGTCTGTTCTCTTTTTTTGTCTAAGCGTGTCGGTGGATGACATTCTGATTTGCATTCGAGTTGGTTCACCAGCGCGTTAGTTTCGTATCGATCATAGACTGTTAGGTCGTACCACCGGTTATAGCAATAACAACAAACACAAGACATAGGACACTGAGGTTTAAACTTTGTGTTCGATCACTTTTGTCTTTATAGCATAGGTTGTGTGTCTTCGTGTCACCACATCAGTAATGCAGAAAGCAGGTGTATACTTTTACGATGAAGAGGTTGTGAACCTTTATCAACTGAGGTGGCTGGGATATGTGTTACACATACATAGTCACTGTCTGCCTCATCGTCAAATGCTAGTTGAAGTAGGTTTAGATTGGATAAAGGCACCAAATACATGAAATCCTTGACTCTTGATCAAAATTTATGTAAAGAAATGTGGACTACTCAGTTGAGATTCACATGACAACAGTAACCACTCTTTGACTGCTTTCAACCGATTCCGTTTTCTTCCTTTAGCTTTCATTTTGTTGCTTCCTGGCTCGATAAGCTTATACGAGGTGTCGGAAACTTGGATCGTTATGCAGTAAGTAATGCCTGGTCCTATGTTGATGATGAATAGTCATAAAATGTTGTGAACAAGCTTACAGCTATACAAATATAACCAAGGGCAACAATGTTTAGCATATATAAGCGATTGACATATGATACAGAATATGTCAGGAAATCAATGCACATGGCTGTCAGCAGCGATCACATCTTCTTTACAAACTGTCTTACGTTACTGCCTCTTTTATGAGTTCAAGGCTTCCTGCCAGATTGCCTTCAACTAACTAACACCTATCAAAGTACACAGCAAAAGTCAGTGTGCTCTAGCTTGGTAGCCAAACTGCAAAATGATCAATACGATTCAGTCAGCACTCAAGACTCGACAACGTGAGATTAGTTGCTCTCCAGTGATCAACTAATGTACATAATTCAATCGCAGCCTGAATAGCTCAGTGGTAACTTCGCTGACTGTAACACTGAGCGTCGCGGTTTCAAATCTCACAAGGAACATCAATTCCCTCCAGGTTGCAGATGAGTGTCAAACACCAACATCCTAGGTGAGCTGAGTACATTTGCTATTCAGTACCTACCTTTTATACAGGTTAGGAATAGAAAAATCCACAGTCGAAAGGAATCACACAAGAAGAAAAAACTAAGATTATTGAATTTCCTTTCTGATATAAGGATTTTACCGGCAGGTTTTAGCACACAGTATTTATATATCATCAGCATGGGAATGGAGCTTTGTCATTAATATTAAGGCATGTCCTAACACACCGTGTTTACATACTATCAGCACGAGAATAGATCTGCAACCCACATATCTCGCAGAAGTTTCTTGGTTTAAATATATATATATATATATATATATATATATATATATATATATATATATATATATATATACATATACATATACATATAATTATTAGTCCCTCGGGTTCCTAATGGAACATAGGGCTTCAGTAGCACGTCTCCAGTGAACTCTCTTCTCTGAAATCTTTTGAAACTGGCTCCGCGACAGCCAACAAGCTCTCATTTCCTCCTAGCACGATCTCCTCCATGTCACCCTCAACTTGGACATCCAACTCGTAGCTTCCCATCTGGGTTCCACTCCAGGGCCTGGCCTGACACGTGATGTCCTCAGTCGGCCTTCTCAGTGTATGACCAATCCATCTCCACTTCCTTCTGCATGTTTGTTCAGCGATCGATTCTTGGTTGGTTCGTTCCAAAGTTCCTCGTTGCTTATTCTTTCTAGACATCTGATCTTCAGCAACGAGCCAACGAAGGCAGCAGTTGTTGATGAATTTCTGTAGTTTGTTCGAAATCCCTTTCGCTGCCTCTTCTGCCAACTTGTTAGTTTTCACCTATAGATCTTCAAGTTTGTGTGATATCAGACACAAGTCATCGGCGAAATCCAGATCTTCTACGTTCTTTTCCGCAGTCCAGCCAGCGTATCCCCCTCTTCTCGCTCCAATCTGCTTGCTGCATGATCCAGTCGACCACAATCAAGAATATCATGGGGGATAGTAGGCAACTTTGTTTCACTCCTGTCTTCACTTCTGAAGCATCACTGAGCTTCCCATTGTCAATTACTTGGCATGTGGCGTCTTCATATAGTTGTTGGATGAGATTGATCAAGGTTTGTAGCACTAAAACCGTAGTGTCGAAGCAACTGGCTGCCAAATTACTTCTCAGTCGAGGCTGTCGAAGGCTTTTTCAAAGTCGATAAAGTTGAGGTGTAGCTGTGCCATTATATACTCTGTTCTATGATGATGCGAAGCGTTGCAATTTGGTCCGCACATGATTTGTACTTCCTGAAGCCTGCCTGTTCCGGTCGTAGTTTTGAATCCAGCGCATCCTTTAGCCTCTCCAGGATGATGCGGCTTAATATTTTGCTTGGGGTGGACAGGAGAGTGATATATATATAGGAATATCTAGTAATGATCCTTTCGCAGGGTCACCTACGACTTTTACGTTCTCTAAAGAGTCAAATTAGATGGTGTTCTCAGCATCAGTTGAGCGGCAAGCCACTTCAATGACATCAATCCAACAACTTCACTAAACCATTCAATCGGTAGCAGCAATAGGTGATGTGTACAAAGGGTAGGGACGTAACCAGAGCAAGCTTATGATTTGCGTTTACTAGGAATTCCTCGTTCAAGGGGGGTAACTGCAATCCCCAATCCCAGTCACGACGGTGATAAGACAGGGCCAAGTTTCCAGATTCACTAGCACCGTCATTGTAGGCCCCGGACATCTGAGGGCACCACAGACCGGTTATTTCTCAATTTCATGAGACTTAGGTGTGCCACTTGTCCCTCTAAAAAGTAAAAGGTGGCATCGTACCCCCCCTGAAAACGATCACATCACCCCATAAAGGAGCAGCAGAAGCAGCAACCTGAATGAGCACAGAGGACCAGTCTATCATTTAGTAGATGAAAGTTCCGTTCGCTATCAAAATTCACCAGACAAATCGCTCCACCAACTAAGAACAGTCACCATTCAGCGGTAAACAAGAATAGAACAATAATAATAATAATGATAATAATAATAATAATAATAATAATAATAATAATAATAATAACAAGTCATACTAATACTGGGGGATATAATGACAACAATACACTCCTGGGAAGTAAAATATTTATACAAATAAAGCAGACGGCGAGTATAATGTCTGGCAAGCAAGCGAGAGGAAATACAAACATTTGTAGTTCACAAAATGAAACAGAAAGATAAACAGGCGCCTGTTTATATATATATATATATATATATATACCAAGTAGAAATCTTATACAACATTTTTCACTATAGAACCATGTCACTGGTTTCTATGATATACGTAAATGTTTTTACGCAAAAAATTAAAGAAAATTAAATTGTGAAGTCAGTCCAGAAATGTTCTCAATCCTCATTCCCATTCCGACAATTCACAAGTCAGGTTTATCACTTATCTCTTTACGTATAGCATTACGTTTTCCTAAAATCTCCATAAGATGTTTACTCATAAAGTAGGGTCGTTCAACAGACCCATCATTTCTTTCTAAATCTTCCACTATAAAAATAAACAAGACGCAAAGAAAAAAAACACATCCATCTTAGAAGGAATGGAATACAGTGTGAAATTGAAGGTTAATGAAAAAGTGAACGAAATTCTAGTAGTGAAATGAAATCTCAATACACCTTGTCAGCAGTAGACAATGAGTTACACCAATTGTGTGATGGTTAGTGATATATAATCTGACTGCTCTAAAACTCTCAACGACTTAGATTATTGAAGTACATTCAGGCTATTAAATAGTTACCAGGGAATGAGCTCATAAAGTCTTCAACTGTTAATCACAGCATAACCCCAGAAACCTGTGGTTGCATAGTCTATGGATCATAATTTATCACAATAGGGAAGATGCATCCACACATTATCTTCATGCCTAATTTCAATATTGGTTCTCTTTACAAGAAGTTCTACACCTTTTAAATACCTTCTTCTTTATTTCTGTCTTTCATCCTGATGTGCTGATATGATATGTGACAACTTGTACCGCGTTACGCACATCTCGTACTGATATCGATCGACTAACCAAACCCAGGTAGGTAGATGGTGTTGGGTTCAAGCAAGTGAGCAACTCGGTTGAAAGGCAAGCGACAAGACCGATGAGCTATATCATACAGCAGTAAGATAGATTTCGGCTTGCACAGTTACGGTGTCTCCGACTGAATGTTTGTACTTCAAATTCTTTCTTAAATTATTCTTCTAAGCTAGAGATTTTATCCAACAAACAGTTGGATAGCAATTAGTTTTATTTTGACTATTTGTGTTCTGGCTTATGCATGGCGACGTTTCGAATCAAATCGAAGTGCAATCAGCAAACTTGTACACACTTGTATAGTAGTCAATTAGCCACCACACCTAATGTATGTGGGTTAATACTGCTACTACTACCTAGCTGCTCAATTCTAAGTACGTGGAGTTGAATTCGAACGCATAATCCAAGAGTTGGAAGTTATCTCCCTAAATCAATGAGTCACAGCTACACATCACGATGTTTATAACACCAACCTATTATAGTGCCAGTAATCTGTACTAACTAAATACTGTAAAAAACATCAGTACAGGTTAACTGAGTGAAGATAAGTCGCATTGTTAAGGAGTAATGTGAATCAGATATCATACAATTTATTTTCTCTCCCCTTTTTCTGTTCAAAATAGCGACGTCCGTACTAAGATGTGCTCGTGTTTAGGCATCAGAAACGATGCAATAATCTCAATGCTACTACAAGTTATTTCTTTTCTAGAACAAGGAAATAGAATTATCCATTACATGCTGTTTTATTCCTTCAGTAGTATATTCTATAAAACAGACAAATAAAACACAAAACTTGTGTAAAAAAGCGAGTTTAGCTCACTTTGTTCCATTTCAAGACCTGAGAGAAATAAGAGGCAATATTCACTGCATAAATGTTTAAATTCTTCATGTTCTCAAGTAATATTACTAAAACGGAAAGTCATTTAAATAAATCATCGAGTTCCCAGGTGAACCAATTAAACGAACTTGTGTCGGTATGAGTCATTCGTTTAACAAAGATGACTTTCAAACTATCGGTCATAGGTCAGAACTCAGGCTTAAACCATCTTAGATTTGGTTAGCCAAACGGTAGTACCAATAGGCATCACACTCAATAGATATCGTGGCTCACTGAGTAATGTACAAGCGCAAGCAAGGTTGCTGGATAGATTTTTCTCATGAAATTGAAAAAGGAAAAATACTGGAAACAACAACCGCCCCAACATCGAACCATAGTGCAAATAAATATTACTCACAGAAGCACAGAAATATTGTATCCACACCCATTTCATAAACACTTGAAAATAGTGATGCAACCAAATAGGATGACAATATGATAATCTGAAATATAAATCATCCAGTTAGTATGAGACTATTCTTGAAATGAAAGCGAAATATAGAGGTGAATATATAATATTACCCAAAAACAATGTACAACTGATTCGATCTCTTTATATGCGTTCCACTACAACAATACATACAGGTTGATTCGTTAAGGCATCCAAAATGCATTCGAGAATTCGTAGAAGGGATGCAAAACTTGGATACTGTGGAATGAGCATAACTCCATATCAGATTCTTTATTTGATATACACCACATAGTGATATAGTAACATTGTTGTCTGGACGACGTTTCGAGCACAATCTATTGCTCATTTTCACACACGACCTTCACATTTCCTTGATATAATCCATCAATTCTTCATTCTCTTATTTTGATGGTAATAAGAGTTTCCAGATATCTGCAGGACATGATAAATCATTCCTCTTACGTGTAAGGTCACGTAATCAATCTCTCACTTCACCTACCCAACTATAGCTAGGACTGTTGAACAGTCAACCTATCCCACTGCCAAGAGTGTGTGATTATGCTCCAGTGAATGTAGCACGATAGTCGAGTTTCCCCCTGAACTACTCATCTTATTAGGGTCTACCATTGTGTGTTACACTACATTTTTGTACTCTCCTATGGTGAGTCATCCTGATCGATTGTTTTGATCTATATACTTGACTTCGAAGATTAAGTTCATTTTTCTTAATTGGCTCTACTGCATCTTTTGGCTTATAAAGTTTTCTATCTAAGCGAGTTTGTGGGTTTGAATGCCACTCTGATCTCATCATTGTTAGGTGAAATTTCCAATTTGCCTATCTTGATGGATATAAGGTGAGATGATGTGAAATTGATGCATCTTTTAGAATGTGTTAGTTTCCGATAAACGCTGGTATCTAAGCGTCCACCTTCTCTCCTCTTGATTTTGAAATCCAACATAAGTAATTCTCCTTCTTCATTTTCTAATTCATAAGTGAGTTGGATTGTATCTACTATTGAGAAAATGTGTGTGTGTGTGAAAAAAAGTCTAGATATGTTTTGATTTCAACACATTGAATGTGTTACCTACCTATCGCCACCGTACTTTTAGGGTGGGTTGTAATCTTCCTAATGCCATCGACACCTAACTATCCATAAATATGTCTGATATGATCGGGAATATTGGAGATTCCATCTCCAGTCCTTCCTTGTGTATTTATATATTTTGTATTGAAATTGAAAAACCGAGAAAGTTAGGCATAGTCATATCCCTAGCACAATTTCTTCAATTGAAAATTTAGTTCTATCACTGAGTTCATGGTCAGTAGTGAGTTTATTTCTAACTGCCTCAAGTGCAATACTAATTGGTATTTTTATATTGAGAGGCTCATCACATCAAAGCTGTCCATCTTTTCTCCCTCTTGTATTTCCATATATTATTTAGTCTGTGATTCAATTCAAAGGAATTGGTGAGCCTGGACTACAACAGATTTATAATAGGACATAGTTATTTCACCTAAATATATACAGGCGACGCTCACAATATGTCAACCATCTTAATGATGCCATACATTCTACTGAGATTACTATTCTCAGACAATAAATTCAACGGTAGAGAGTCACCGGGAGATGGTTTCACTCGGTGGACTACATCAACTGTGTACCTTTTAATTCTTGTTCATAATTGTGTCTACAGACTGTGATATGAGGGGAGTTTGAATGTTATATAATCACTTTGATGTGAACATGAACAATAGATTATGCTCGAAATGTCATCCAGTAAACAATATAATATATGAAAGAAAAAAACAATAATGAATTTCATACAGGTTGATGGCAAGGGGTAGTTTTGTGTTGAGGCTGCTGATGTACATTTATTGAGGTGTTAATCCGTCGGTGTGTCTTTCTTAGTGATAGAATCTACAATCATTTCTTCCTTTGTTTTTGTTCTACAGATTATGTGTCAGTGCATGCAGAGTAATAGCCAAGTTCCCCTCTAAACTACTTACCTTATTAGGGTCTACCATTGTGTGTTTCACTAAATTTTTGTACTCTACTATAGTGAATCATCCTGATAGGCTGTTTTGACTTATATACTTAATCTAACATCGCTACATGTTATTTGATAGATACAGTTGTTTTTGTTAAGTTGACTTTATTGCATCTTATAGTCTACAAAGTTTCTCTCTGGACGAACAAGAGAGTGTAAATGCTAGCCCAATCCCAGCATTGTTAGGCATTCTACGTAAAATTTCCGACATACCTTCATTATTTAGCAACACTATAGAAGGTGTGAATTACCTCTTCAGTATGTTGCAGTCACCATTAATACTATGTCTCCTTCTCTTATCTATCCTTATAAACGTTTAAACAAATTCCGGAGACGAGTTATCAGGAAGTAATGTTTCTTTGTTGTGTTTCAGTTCCTTATTTAGATTTTCTGACTTACTAGTTATTCTGCTAGTCAGTCTACTCAGACATTTTATTAAGCTCACCTGGATAGGTGTCGGGTGAGGTAATATGAAAACGAAGCATCTATTCGAATATGTTGGTTTCTTGGAAACACTGGGATCTAAGTTTCCGTCTCTTCTCCTCTTCATTTCTCAATCCAACAAAGGTGATTCTCCTTTATCATTTTCTAATTCATAGCTGAGTGGGATTGCATCTACTATCAAGATAATATATGCGAAAAAAACTCTTCATGTGCTCTGATGAACATCACATCATATCAGATATATTTATGGATCGTTAGGTGTCGATGGCATTAGGAAGATTACAACCCACCCTAAAAGTACGGTGGCGATAGGTAGGTAACACATTCAATGTGTTGAAATCAAAACATATCTAGACTTTTTTTCACACACACACACATTTTCTCAATAGTAGATACAATCCAACTCACTTATGAATTAGAAAATGAAGAAGGAGAATTACTTATGTTGGATTTCAAAATCAAGAGGAGAGAAGGTGGACGCTTAGATACCAGCGTTTATCGGAAACTAACACATTCTAAAAGATGCATCAATTTCACATCATCTCACCTTATATCCATCAAGATAGGCAAATTGGAAATCTCACCTAACAATGATGAGATCAGAGTGGCATTCAAACCCACAAACTCGCTTAGATAGAAAACTTTATAAGCCAAAAGATGCAGTAGAGCCAATTAAGAAAAATGAACTTAATCTTCGAAGTCAAGTATATAGATCAAAACAATCGATCAGGATGACTCACCATAGGAGAGTACAAAAATGTAGTGTAACACACAATGGTAGACCCTAATAAGATGAGTAGTTCAGGGGGAAACTCGACTATCGTGCTACATTCACTGGAGCATAATCACACACTCTTGGCAGTGGGATAGGTTGACTGTTCAACAGTCCTAGCTATAGTTGGGTAGGTGAAGTGAGAGATTGATTACGTGACCTTACACGTAAGAGGAATGATTTATCATGTCCTGCAGATATCTGGAAACTCTTATTACCATCAAAATAAGAGAATGAAGAATTGATGGATTATATCAAGGAAATGTGAAGGTCGTGTGTGAAAATGAGCAATAGATTGTGCTCGAAACGTCGTCCAGACAACAATGTTACTATATCACTATGTGGTGTATATGAAGAAATTAATCTAGTCATGGTTGGGATGTTGATACATGCACTATGGTTTTTGTGATCAGCTATGTCGCGACGATTTACTTCTTTGATAGATCGCATTTTTATTTCCTACAATCTTCATACGATGATAGATCTCAAGTGGGATAAAATACATCTTGAAATGATGAGGTGTAAGCCCTCGGTTTCTTACAAGGACAAGTACGCTGCCAAGAGTTATTGCTGGATGTACCCCTAATTTGGATACCTTTTGGTTGCTGTTTTGCGCATGACTTTAAAATCACCTATCATGATTGTTCTCACATCGTAATTAGTTTCTCTTCTCTCTCTTCTTAAGGCTGAACTGTCTCTCTTTCTCTCTCTCTGATTAGTTGCTGACTATTTTAATCTATATGTGGATCTAGTGTTGTCAAGGTCATTTAGGAATGTATATATTCAGCACCACTGACTGCTGTTGAGACAGTTAAAAGCTGTTTGTCAACGGTCTGTCATCATGTCTTCGCGTGTCGGTGGTATCATTGTTGTTGTTGTGATTCGTTAGCGAATTAGGTTTTTATCGCTAGTAGGTCGGTATTATCAGTTGACAGCAGTTATAGACAATCTTCGCCAAGGCGACTACTTCAGGAAAGATAAACAATTTGCCAATGCTTCAGAATAATTTAAAAAAAATACAACAGAAAAACGAATCACCATTCACAGTTGCATGCTTCAACTAGTCACATAAAACCACACTAGTATTCACACATGTACATGAAAATCAAGGCATAAAGTTATTCAATTGTAGCCAGAAAGAAAACGTTTATCTACTTACACATAATGGTACAAATGCATAGTGTAGATTAGGTTGCAATTCACTGGCATATTCACTTCCTTTAAATAAGATACCTTCCAAATAGACATAGGCTAGACCACCTAAATAAAAGTCAAACAAACTGTCACATAAAGAATCCCTATATACTAATTGATAAGTTATCATGTCATTTTGCAATGATAAGAAAAAGATGGTATATATATAACTGACTCCAACTATGCGTATACAACGAACACATGCAACGACAACAATACTTAATATGCTTCTTTAGAGATGAGGAGGATGTATATTGGTTAGGAAATATGAAAATTGGTGAAAATAAAACAATAAAAATGAAAGTTGTAGCGGATTTGCGATGAATAGTGAGTAAGAACGATATGAAATTGTGTAAACTAACTTAACCATTACTAATGAACATATACACGTGTATCATACAAGTATGTGAATAAGACGGCTAATAGATTGACCATTATGTTTGATGAACAAACTATAACTACACAAATTCATGCAATAATAACAATCCTAAATGGCGAAAACCAACAAGTTGGCAGAAGAGAGGAGGCAGGGCAGCGAAGGAAGATGGGACTTCCTTCAGGTGAACGTAGAGAAGACACAGGTGATCAAGATACCCAACCAACAACAACGACAACAAGTACCATCAACAGGTGAAATGTAAACGATGTTATCTCTTTCACCAACCACCTAGGCAGCATAATTTCGACTATAGGCGACAGCGGCATAGATGAGGACGTCAAAGCCGGCATCGAAAAAGCAAGACCGGCCTTCATTAACCTAAAATCAATGTGGAGATCTACTACACTGCACAAAGCATGAACAAGATTCGGATTTTCAACACTAATTCAGTCAAGTCAGTGCTACCATGTGATGGTTCAGAGACTTGGCACATTACAAAAAGTATTTCCAACAAACTGAAGACATACATCAAAAACTGTCGTCTACGCTCACTCGATACTGACACTGAAGATAGAGAACAGATGGCCAGAATAATAAGAATAAGCAAGGAGGAATTCTGGCTGACCCCGCAACCAACCAACCAACCAACAACCAGTCGCCCAACAAATATGGAGAGGAGGAAAGTGGAGATGGATTGGATTGGATTGGACATCCACTGAGAAGACTGTTTGAGGACATCACGCGTCAGGCAGTCGAGTAGAATCCAAAGAGGAAACGACGAGTTGGGCATCCGAGGTGAGGGTGACATGGGGGAGATTGTGTGAGGAATAAATGAAAGCATGTGGGCAGTTTTGGAGCCAGGTTGAAAATACCTGAGAGAAGAGAGTGAAATGTCGACGCGCTACTGAAGCTATATGTTTCACTAGGAACCCAAAGGAAAAAAATATATATCTATAAATAATCCAGAATATCATAGTGTGTATGAGATGACAACCAAGTGATGAACATTAAACCTCATCCAACTTAGTAGCAAACATGCTCAACACTAAAGGTATGACAACAGTTTCACAAGTGTGTCACTTACACTCATTGATGAAAAACACTCAGGTGACCAGACCAGCCACCACGAAGTAAAACATACAAATGGACTATTAAAAAAAATACAAGAATAAGTGTCCGATAGAAACGTAATAGTATATAACTTTGTAGATTAATGTAAATCTGTAAGAATAAACTTCATCAAAAATGATGGAGAATATTTGTACCTCATGAAAATGATTTCGATAATATTCGCTAAGCTTCAAAGTTTATTCGTAAACATACTGAAAAAATACAGGGTCTTTTGAACATATTCAGCAGAAGTCTGAGTATGTTTAGCATGCGTTTCATACCTGCAAAATGTAAGATGATGCTCCAGGTATGAGTGGTCTGCAACTATACTCAGTTCAAGCATACGGAATAAAGTAGTTGGATGAGTCTAAATCTTAGCTTGAATACAACTTGCGAGATATTCGACTATCTATCAAATGATGACTATGCTGCGCTTGACTCCGTTCTATCCAGTTACACGACTGTGAGCTATGACAGTTAAAAGTAGAAGGTATGATGCGGTTGTAGGTCTTTTGATTACAGGTGTCTTCGTGGCACTGATTGAATATACTGGAATCAACATGTGAGCAATGTTGAGGTCAGGCGAGTCGACTTATAAGGTAATGAACTTGAATCGATTGAGATAGGTTGGACAGGTACTGTGCATACCTAGCCACTGTCTACGTCGACGTCTGATGCTAGCAGAAGAACGTTCAGAGTGACCAGACCAAGATATGGCACCCATCGGTGAAGTCTCTGACTTTTGATCGGAATCGTGTGTGTGTTTGGGGAGGGGGGGGGGAGGGGGGAGAGATGTAGATTGCCTGACTGAAGTCTCCCAGATAACAGGAATCAGTGGTTAAGGACTCTTGGTGACATGGCTGAAAACCGGTCACTCCTCGATATCTTCTAAAGCTTGAATATTTGCGGAAACCTTTATCTTCAAATTATTTATACTCTAACACAACTTCATCCACTTTGATATCACTCTTTTTCTATCTACTTGTTCTTTATATACTATTGTGATGTGTAGTAACTTGAACCAATGTAGTTGTGTTGATTTTGTTTGCCAGTCATAGTTAACTTCTTACCGAAGTTTGTACTAACACTATTGTCTAGAATGGTAATGAAAGTTTCACGAGTAATTCATCCAGCGCAAAGAAACAAAACACCACCAAGACGCCACCAACACAGTTAACTTCAAAGTAGATTCATATATATACTCAGGTTTCTGTAGACGAGGTGATCAACGAAAATACACCCAATAGAAAAACAAAAACCAACTGCAAAAAAGCATTTTCTAATTTTGTATAAAGCACTAAACAAATCCCACCACCATCATCATCAAGATCGACATTGGACCAGCCATTAGTGAGTAACGGTCCAAGTTGCCACACTGCATATCAGCACATCAAGTAACAAGGTAATAAAATGGAAGATAAAGAAGGAAAGAAAAATCAGTCAAAGGGAGTAGAAGTAGAAAGTAGTAAAATAGACGAAGGAAGAATAAGATTAAGAATAGAGGTTAAGATGTGGATAATGTCTGTGCATCCATTTGCGTTACTGGTATCGATTCCAAGTCATACCACCTGGAGTCTGCAACCACTACTCATTTCTCTTGTCCCGTGGACCCCAAGCACCTAGTCCACATCGCCCTACATGACTCAAACCAACAATCAAACACTTCATACATTGATGCCATGTTTTAGTCTGGCCACCTCGGGGCTTTTTCCAGACTGTACCTACTTCGGCCAACATTGTGAAACGAGGCAGATAGTGGATAGGCATACGTAACACACGTTCCAGCCGTCTCACTCGATGAAGGTTCACAATCGTATCGCATCTATCTTACTTCTCCTACCTAAAACTCTACGCCTGACTTTTCCATTACTCACGTGGTGACACCACGAAACACGGTCTATGCTACGAAGGCAACAGTGGTTAAATACCAGAAGCCATGTTTCACAGTCATACAGTAGAACAGAGCGGACTGCAGCATAGTACACTCGATCCTTAATAGAAAATCGCATGTTGCGGCGGTACCGCGGATGGTACAAGTTTGCAAAAGCCAACCAAACCTTTTGTATCCACGCAGAGATTTTGTCAGCTACTGACCCCACTTCCCAGGTAAGTGAAGTGTTCAACGCGCTCTACACTCTCTACTGCTAATTGGGGCACTGTTGAAGACCAGTCCTGGAGCATCAATTTGCATTTAGGTGGTGAGAAACGCATCTCAATCGTTCTCAAACTGCAACTCAAGGTGTTCAGAAGACTCTGCATTTTGTCAGCGTCTTTATCTAACAAGAGTAGGTCATCTGTGTTTTCTAAGTCCAAGAAAAATTCTCTTGTGATCAGATCAATCCCTTTGTAGTCAGATGACGACCGGGAGACCTCCATAAAAACACCTATGATAAAGTTGAATAGGAATAGAAAGAGTGGGCATCCTTTACATACACAACTCACTCGATATCTCACCATAGGTCAAACACATGAAGCCTCCTCACGTCTTCTATCTTCAATGGCCATGTTTCACAGCCATAGAGTACAACAGAGCGAACTGGTGTGCAGTACACGCGACCCTCAATAGACAATCGGATATCACGGCGGCACCACTACTTGTTCGCATGATTACCAGTAGTTACTTTCGACCGGTTACATAACACTTCACATCTCTCTTATTCTTCATTTTGTTCACATGATTTTTCACTCTATTTGAATATAACTCACTGATCCTTAGTAAAAGAATACACACAGTGGTTTAGTGGATGATGCTTTGTAGTTTAAAGCGAAGGGTACTGCGTTCCAGCCTCGATAGGAATAACATCACTCACTGGGATGCAGATTTATTCAGCTGACAAGTCCTAAATGGGACGAAAAGTACATCTTGGATTCCTCTGCTAGTTATCAAGATCAATATAACGTCATGAATACCGGGCAGTATCAAGACATTCGCATAGGAGCCCATCTGCCAACAAACGTCGAGCAATTCAGCCTGGTATAGCAACACAAAATTACAAGTATCATAACATGAACACACAAATTTCTGTCCCAGATATGCTTCGATACTACGCTTTACTTTGGCTATTTTACGTTTCATCTATTCTCATAGATTCATAACTGTAGAGTCTGATGTAGAGGTTATTGAAAACAATTGTGTTCGCTCAAATTATTTCAAAATCCTTGGCAAGAATGAAACTAACAATAGCCGGAAGTGAAATGGAAAAAACACTAGGAATGATACCATTTTAGTTGATTTATTAGGTGTATCACACTGTAGAACAGTATTATTTACTGGATTACATTTCGGATACAATTTACTACCGATAGTCATATCAAGAAGGATAACTGCACAAATTTGGGACGTCTTTTATATAGGTCTAATTTCTTTTCCCCTTGTGTTATAAATAGTAAGATTTTCCATATATCCGGAAAAGGTACTGAGTCATTCTTAATGAGTGTATCAAGTTAGTTTTTAATACTGTCGCTCTATCCCAGCCTACCGTGTGTACTTGTATGCATAGCTAAGGCTGAGCTGTTTTCTACATTCCTTACCTTATTAGAATCCAGCAATTTTAACCTAGCTAGGATTTTGTACTCCAATAGCCTAATTGACACTGATCGATTACTTTGACCTATGTATTTGACCTCGCAATCACTGCAAGGGATTTATTAAACCAGATTATTTTGCTAAATTGCATCAATAGGATCTTATAACCTACAAAGGTTGTTTCTAAGTACGTTTGTAGGTTTAAATGATACTCTAATCCCAGCCAGACTTATTGAGAATCCTGAGGTGCCTTCTTTGTATTACTATCATTACTACTAACACCTGCATCAGTAATGTTAGTCATATTTTTCTACGATTACTAGAGAACTTAGCAACTAAGTTTGGAGGTTGGTTGGGATTTATTTATTGACTTTGGGTTAGACCCCTGACGGGACCATGGGTACACACTACTGAGGAGTTCCACGGTAAAACGAAACATCTGTCCAGTGCCCTCTGGTTTTCAATGCTTCTCTAACTGATCTCACTCCATGAAAAATACAACCCAAAAAACAACTTATGTTTTTACTGTGTCGTACAATTTATATTCACTTACCAACAGCACCAACAACGACAAGTTTCCCAATGAACAGGATGAAATCTGTCACTTTGTCGACAACAATAAGCCTAAGCATGATAAACAAAAGATACGATATTATTTCACTGCGATTACACGTATAACAATGATCAAAATGTTGATAAAAGAAGGTAACAAGTAGTAAAGCTGTAAGAATTGAAGAAAGAAGCGTAAAAGAGAGATTAGAACAGAAGGTAAACAGTGAATATAGCATGAAAACCATGCCTGTTCTGTCTAGTTATACGACTGTGAGATTTGGCCGTTGACTGTTAAAGATATGGAGCGATTACAAGGTTTCGATCACAGATGTCTTCGTAGCATTTCTCCCACTTGGTGGAATCACCATGTGAGCAATGTTTAAGTCAGAAGGGTATTAGGCAAGTAAGTCAATACGGTTGTGAAACATCATCGACTGAAGTGGCTTGGATATGATACTAGGAATGTCGAGTTATCACTTACCTTGATGTCCAACGCTAGGGGGTAATAAAAGGTTTAAATTGGTCAGACCAAGACTTGGCACCAATCCATGAAGTCGCCTACATTTGGTTTAAGCTGTATGGGGAGATGTAAGTTGCCTGGTTGGGGTCTTCACGAAGAAAGGATGACTGAAAGTTGGTCACAATGGTGCAGTCGTATTAACTCCTTAACGTCTTTCAAAACTTGAATAGTTTGCAGTAACTTTCATCTTAAAATTTTTTATTCTCTTGTACACACAGGTTTCTATCCACTTGTACTTTGTATACTTCTGTTAAGTGTAGCAACATGAACCGATGAACTTATGTGCTAGGTTCTACGTTTATTTTGTTCATCAGTCCACTGAAAAATAACTTTCCGACTGACTCAGTGGTTTAGGAAGATGACTATCAATCATTTGGTCATGAGGGTTAAGCCAAGCTCCACCTATTGAGGATTGGAAAGCCAGGTAGTATCACTAAACCAAATATAATAGGTATGACTCATTGCCTGCTGGACAGATTTGCAGAAAGTAGCTGAGAGCATTTTGTTTTTTCCCCCTTTGTTATCGTATAAACGAAAACTTTATAAACTTGTATTGCAGATGAGAGGTATAATCCTAACACAATACTGAATACCATTAAAACTTCTACAATCGGATGGAAGGGAAGTGTTTCAGAGATCCGCTGACACTGGGATGGGTTTATCAGAAACGATGACGCAGTTTACAATAATACGTGAAGGAGAATATCATAATAAGTTGACTGAATTGTTACAAATATCAACGTCATCAAACACGGGATAAAATCCTTGCTATTTTACTTTCATTGTGTTAAAATATTATCACTTTTGTTTTATTATATACAACGAATTTCGTAATACCTCCCTCCTCCTTGCATAAGACTAGAAAATTATGTTGTTAAGATAACACTTTGAATTATTTGTTGGTTGCCCACCTATAACAGTTCTGAAATTCGTTTTCAACATATATTGAAAAATTTCAAGTTGTTATTCATCGAAGACTAACATCAGTTGGAGGTCGCGGGTTCGATCCCCGCTGGTGGGGTCGTGGGTGCGCACTGCTGAGGAGTCCCATACTAGGACGAAACGGCTGTCCAGTGCTCCCAGGTTTCCTTTGTTCCTCCAACTGATGTCAGTCTTCGATGAATAACAACTTGAAATATTTCCAAATCTCCACAACTCCCTCAAAATATATTGAAAAAGAAAGATTTAAGCTTTCTTGAAAGCTATCTGGTGGGGATGCGCACCGCTGAGAAGTCATATATTCGGACAAAACAACTGTCCAATTGTTCGATAACTTTTCAATATCAATTCATAAAGAATACTATCTTGAAATCAATAGAATATCTATGAACCACAAACAAAATTGTTTTCTTCAAATGGTACCTCGAATACATATTCTGTAAAATTCATTGTCTTCAAAGTAAGAAACAAAGAAATAATTTAACGAAATGTTTCAAGAAAAAGGAAGAAAAAAACACTTTTTAAAAGTTGATAACGATGATGATAAAACAAGAATAAGTATAGATTATCGAAGTATATAAAGTACACAGGAGAGAATATGAACAACCACTGATGTGTGATTGACATTAAATATAAACCAATAATAACCAAAAAAAAAGTGAATTAATATAAAACAACAGCCTGTATATATTATTAATAATAGATAGTGGATAGCAGTGGAATCTAGGACGCGCGTTTCGTCCTATTTAGGACTTGTCAGTTGGGTATACTTGCCTCCCAGTGAGTAATGTTGTTCCTACTGGGATTCGAACTCAGGACCAGTCGCTTTAAACGTCGGAGCGTTATCCACTAGACCACCGAGCCACTTATTGTGCGACGAATGTAGTTTTAGTGTTATCGCTTGTATTATCCCGTCGTTGATTCGATCGAATTGATCGGTGTACATTGGCATATGGGCTCCTGTACAAATGCCCTGATATTGTCTGAGTTTTTAATTATCTTAATGGTAGATAGTGGCTAGCAGTGGGTTCCACCACTGATATAATTAAAAGAACAGGCAGTATAGAGAGCGATAAATTCGGCCCAATCAACGACGGGATAATACAAGCGATAATACTGGCCTATATACGTTTCCCCGAGAATGCCTTACATATTTATGCAAAGAAAGCTGTTGTAAGTCAGACTAGGAAAGGTGTGCATATGTGTCATAATCTCAGTTAGCGGAAGCACCAGGCGCTGGATTAGATCCTGCTGCGGTTTAGATTCCTATTTCACCTTCAATCATCTATCCAATAAAAATGCAAGTATGTATAAAAGAAACTGGTAGTGGAGGAAACGACACAGACTGAGATGCGGGAAGGAATGTTCATTATTGACAATACAGTACTGATGAAATATTGTACACCTTCAACTAAGACAGTCATTTACGCAATGTGCTTCATTTCCTATTCTAACAGCGTAATGAGAAGACGAAGATTATCTGAAACATGTGATGTATTAGCACTATACATTTCGAACAATCTGATCACACATGGACTTGTCGAACTATTTATATGAAAATTTACGAAAAGGTCAATGAAGTTAGTGGGAAACATAGGAATAGGAAGGGATAGAAAAAAAAAGGAAAACCTTATTCTTGGTATGAAAATTAAAGTCAATACTACTTAGGTAGGTTCAACGTGAGTACAAATTGTTTTTGTATACATAAAGGGGGTTTAAATTTACGGATGGCAAGAGCTTCAATAAATTTAAGCACTCGGCTCTGACCACTACTTTAAAGGCTGTTTTCATGTCTATCCTATAGTTAGTTCCTAGTATATGTTTAGCGATAGACGAAGATGGCTGTTTGTCACCTGCACTTATCGGATCTGTTGAGGTCATTTGTTTTTGTAGCCACTTAGGTACACGTTCAACCTTCCTTAACTGCATATCACGATTACTCCTCCCTATATATATATGTGTCCACACATATATGTAAATTGATAAACACAGTGGGGTGTGATGTAATCGTTCATATGTTGTTTTGGTTTGTGCTGCAACATGGACTTGGTCTTCTCTACAATGATGACCTTAGCTGCATAATACGTTTTACAGATGGTCGATCTAAGTCTTTTCCTCACAACAAAGCTATGTGAATCACCTCTAAATGGTAATGAGATGTAGACATTTATCTTAGCAACGGAACACTGTGTACTTTTCAATGGTACATAACTTTTGCACCGGTCGATAAATCTCAACGGGTAGCCATTCTGTATCAGAGTTGTCGTCAGTAAGTTGGTTTCTTCCTCCCTGGTGTCATCGGTGCAGATACGGTTTATCCTGTTGAATAAGCATCTGACTAAACCACGTTTATATTGGACTGGACAATAGCTATGGAAATTAAGATATTGCCCTGTCCATGTAGGTTTCTTATAGATCGACCTCCTGATCGAGCCATCCTCCTGTCGACTGAGCAATGCGTCTAGGAACGGTAGCTGGTTGTTCGTCTCTTGTTCATAAGTCAGGCTAATGTGATTCTGAGCCGTGTTCATTTTCTGTAGCAGGCACATTGCATCATCAGGCTTTTCACATATAATGACTATATCATCAACATATCTCTTATAAAGTGAAACCCTTCCAATGAGATCGTCAGCCATGTTTTCAACATATGACATGTATACATCAGCTAGCAACGGTCCTAATGGACTGCCCATCGCGACACCATCAATCTGTTGAAAGTGTTCGCCCTCGAATGTGAATTCAACTTTATCAGTGCATAATAACAATAAATCTATTCCTATGTTTCCCATTAACTTCATTGACCTTTTCGTAAATTTTCATATAAATAGTTCGACAAGTCCATGTGTGATCAGATTGTTCGAAATGTATAGCGCTAATACATCACATGTTTCAGATAATCTTCGTCTTCTCATTACGCTGTTTAAATTTATCAAAGGGATCAGTTGCTTTAAATTTCCTATTCTGTTCCTATCTCGATTTGCTCTTATGTACCCAGATTAAGTCTTGCGCTTCTCTGAGTAGAATATTTACCCATTGCTGATAATTGTCTATGATTTCTTCAGACCTCTCAACATATACTACTAATATCCATTCTGATCAGTAGCGTCCACTACAGTGGTATACCGTTTCATCACAGCCTACACTTTTTTCGACAACGTAAGATAAATCTAAGGTAATACAATAAATATGTGTAAAGTACCTGACAACATTACGTGCAAGTAAGGCTAATGCTGAACCAGACGCAGAACAGAAGCTTTGACCGTAAATGGCAATCTAATAAACAGAATAAGAAAAAAAAGGATTTTAGTATAATATAAACTTATATTTCTACAAATCTGTTATGAACAATCAGTTAACGACCATCAAATGATCTTTGATCCGCTACTTATAAGGGAATTCAAACTAATTCACATTGGTTATTGCATCACACTTAATGATACTGTCTGACTGCTCAAACACCAGTAAGTACAGAGGTATTCGAACCGGTGAGCCATCGGTTGAAAGTCAACCGCTCAAACGAAGCATTTCATTACTATTGATGGGGAGTGGCTAGCAGTGGAATCTAGGACACGCGTCTTGTCCTATTTGAGACTCGTCAGCTGAATGTGCCTGCCTCCTAGTAAGCGATGTTGTCCCCATTAGGACTCGAACTTGCGGACACCTGTTTCAAACGCCAGAGCGTTATCCAGTAGACAACCGAGTCATCATAGATACTTCTTGTGCGACGGATGTAGTTTTAGTGTTGTTGCTTGTATTATCCTATTTATTAATGTACTGACCAAATTTGAACTCCACGACATAAAATCTAGATGATTGAACACACTACTAATTATGCATATCAATAAAACCACATACTACTGATAGAAATAACTGTAGTATAACCTCATTGTCACTGAATTCGTTGTGGTGATTGACAGTTATTCTTAGTTTCTTCATTGGGTTAGCTACAAGTCTACATAAACCACATTGTGTAACACTGATAAATAGTTTGTCGACATCTTGCTTTGTGCTTTGCAACAAGCTTTGTACTCTATTATTTCCTCGACAATGAGATCCATATCTCTTATTGTTTTGAACATCAGTTGATAATGAACGCTGCAGACGGATTGACATCAGATGTAGTACCATTAACAACCTGGAAGGACTGGATAGCTGTTTCGTCTGAGTACCAGACTCTTCAGTAGTGCGCATCCGTGACTCCACTCGCTAGGAATCGAACACAGGACCTTCAAGTTTCACGTTGAACGCGTTAACCATTCAGTCACTGGATAAGAGTTCAGTGGTCTACAGCTTTCTACTTCTGTTAATTCATGAGATAGCGCAACTATCGTTCATGGTCATCTGGTTGACCCCAGATAACTTTGGGATATCCACCATTAATGAGCCCTTTATAGTAATGCGGTTTGAGATTTATGGGGATTTTATGATCACACATAAACTCAAGAAGTGAATAAAACTATGAAAGCTCTGATAGTCGTCAATGGCCTGTTTCTTCATTTTACAGTCCACCCAGACAACTCCACTTAGATTCTTTTTTCCCTTCTGCTGAGATGTTATCCTAGGGCTTAAGCATCTTTCAACACATCCAATTCTGCGGACAACTTTTAAGATAATCTTAAACAACACAACAACCAGGTAAAATGTGATTAGATGTCAATTTAGGAGAATACATGACTGTCAAACAACGGTCGACTATACAGAAATCACAGCTTCATTGAACAGATGATTTAATCTTCGCTTATATATACTCAAAATAATCATACTCAAAAGGCTGCGTGTGACAGGCCTCAAGCAGATGTCCGATGGGCTCTGCGATCACACAAATCTCTTTCAAGTACCTTAAGAAGAAATAGCCTTCCACGGTGTGGGCAGCCGGGAAGTGTCAACCGCCCTCACAACTCTGTCAGCATTCAAGTTTCTTCTGACTGCTATCCATCTCCTCCATCATTACCTTCTAATCTTTCTTCACGTCTCTTAAATAAAACTTCATCCCACAGATAGGAAGAAACTTTAGAATCATTGGAGAACCACGAAAACCATGAGGATTTCAAGCCAATAAAGTAAGTAAATAACATGTTTACACAGAATTTAAGGCTATAACCCTGCATTAGGGTAGCACAGATATGCACTGATGAAACTAAAACAGCATACGACCACTTCACAATGATATAATGAGTTCTAAGTTCAAATAATTTGCTTATGGCGCCCAGACAACCTTTAGTTTTCAGATATACTAAGTCATAATTAATTTTGTTAACATTCAGTAAACTTATTGCACATAGTAGGTTGTATGCTTTGAAATGGAGAAAAGAACCATGAACCCGATACCATGGATTTTTGCATACAATAAAAAACACAAAACGTGTCCATATGCATGCGAACAGAAATAAAAGAAGACGAAACAGTTTATAAGAGCGTTAATGTAAGCGTGGACATTAGGCAACGTCTCATAGTGGAACAGTTTCATTTACTAGATAACGTTTCGGATATAATTTATTGTCCATATTCATATCAGGTAATTCCATAACTTAGAGATATAGTTTATATAGTCTTAATTTCCTCTTCTTCTCTATGATGGACAAAGGTAGTAGAATTTTCCATATATCTGGGACAGGTACAGAATCATTTCGAATGTATACATTTCATGGTGATTCGATAACCAAAGATTCGGTCATCAATCCATTCAATTAAGTTGGTTTTTGAATACTGTCACTCTATCGCACCCTAGTGTGTAATTGTATGTAATTCCGTGCCTAGCTCTATACCCGAGGTTTTCCTAAATGTCTTAACTTATTAGGATCTACTAATGTTGATTTAGCTATGTTTTTGTGCTGTGTTATCTTAATCGACTACTTTGACTTATGTATTCAGCCTTGCAATCATTACAAATGATTTGGTCCCTAAATTTTTCTGTCTAATTGGATCAATAAGATTTTTTTTTAGCTTACAAAGCTTGTTTATCGGTTTACATCTTAGTAATCCTTCTGAGGCGGTTTCTTTGGATAGTAATACAGTAGAGGCTTTGAATTCTTTCTCAACCCTGTCACCATTATTACTATCAGTAATAGAATCATAATTAATAACACCTGTATTACTACTATTACTACTACTGCTAATATTTTTCTTTCGATTTCTTACGAATTTCTTTGTAAATGTAGGTGGTTTAATTGTTGATACTGAAGGTTTTTCTGATGTGCTTAAATTCTTGTCGTAGATTTTCTATCCTTTCAGCGAGCTTTTTCGTCCTATTATTTTGGGATTTAACTAGCCCCAACTTAAATGATATAAGGTAAGATGATTTGAAGTCTAAGTAGTGATTCGGATGGGAACGTTTCCTACAAACACTAGTCTGTAAACTTCTATCTGGCTTTCGCTTAATCTTGCAATACAATATTGCTAGTTGACCTTCATCACTTTCATAGGTTAGATTGGATTTGCTACTGAATTTGTGTCAACAACCTATTGGAACGCTCCAATTTGAGTACTGTACTGCTATCGATATATCTAAACCATATCTTTGGAGTAGGACTAAATATCTGAAAGGTTATCCTTTCGCAACTATCTATAAATGTCTGCGACACAATAGAGGTTATTGGTGATTCCATGGCGACCTGTTCAGTTTGTTTACATGCGTTATTTTGAAACTTGGAAACTACAGAAGTTAGGCATAACCGTACTCCTTGCATGATTTCTTCGATTGCTTCGATACGTAAGCTCATTGTCATTATTTATTAAAAAATATGATGTGCATTGTAAAACCATATAAAATTATATAGAGTGAACATAGGCCATAAGCATAGCGATAGGGGGTAGAGTCAAGTTGTTAACATTTAAGGCTTTGAAGCAGAATTAGAATATGCCTTACAGAGCATATACAATTAATAAACATTTAGAAACACAGATATTTGAATAGGATTGCTATTCTAAATTGTACTTCATGCACTTATCCCAATATAAAATTGATTTCCTTTAAGCCATAAACAAGATCAAATATACAGTTGAAACAGCATAGCAAAATGGTAATGACTGAATGACTGACTGACAGAAATCAACACAGAACTTTGCACACAAATGCATCGCTTCAAGTTATCACACTTCATAGAAGTATAAAAAGAACAGGTGGATAGGAGAAGTATTATCAGAGTAGATAAAGCAGTGTGAGAAAATGAACATTCTGAAGATAACGAATTGTACGAATATTCAAGCTTTAGAAGACGTCAAGGAGTGAGTACATCTGCGCCATTGTGACCGATTTTCAGTCATGTCATCAAGATTCCTCAATCAGTGATTGCTTTCGTCTTGGAAACATCAATCAGGCAGTCTACATCTCACCACATGGCTCAAGTCAACAGTCAAGGACTTTATCGACTGCTGCCACGTCAAGATAAGCGGTAGGTTGGTACGTGCAGTACATGTCCAAGTCATCTCAATTAGCTAACGTTCACAACCTCGTCAATCGACTTGCATATCTTGCCTAGTACCCTTCGACTGACCTCATTATTGCTTACACGGTGATTCCACCAAACGTGAGCGATGCTACGAAGACACCTATGGTTAAAAAAACTGTCACTGTTTCATGTCTCATACACTTACAATAGGACAAAACATACTGGAGTGGAGTATGCATTCCATTCCTTCACTCTCTATCATTACACTGGGAGTACATGCAACAGACCAGCTATGCCTGAAGCAATATCTTACATTTGACAAGTGCGAAACGCATGCCTAACTTACACAGATTTCCGCTGAAGGCATTCAGAAGATCCTACATTTCGTCAGGGTCTTCACCTATCAGGACAATACCAATGATAATAATAATAATAATAATAATAATAATAATAAACACTCACCATAATGAAAGCATTCCGATTAAGAAATTTTAGAAATGTTTCTAACAGCCAAAAACAACAACACAAACATTTCAAGAAGAATTTTGCAACAGGATTATCTGATTTTTTCAATTTTGTACTGATATATTCCAGTATAGCACGAAGCCATTGTAATAGAGCGATTAAAAAGGAACCAAATGCTAATGAACCAATATGATAAAAGGCTGATCGAAAAAAACTTCTCAGTAGTGGACACTTTGACATTGACTTTTGATCAGCACGTGAAAAGTAGTATTCAGCAAACGTTCCAGCTAAAGTCATTTGTGTAAGTGATCTGACAAAATTGACTAACCAAAAGAACATGAATAAATTGAATAGTTGCAGATAGATAGTATACCTAAGGATAAAGAAAACAATTGTGATGATAGGGAAATTTTAGGGATCATTGTAACTATCTTTTATGAATGGGTTAGTCAAGAATTGCTCTGATCCATTTCCACTCATCAGACCAATAACAAAAAGTTCTCCCCCCACACACACGCAGAGGTGCATTCAGCCATCTTGAGCATATTCATCCAGTAGGCAAGCATGACGGCTAGTGATATTGCCTGGTAGCGCAAACCTCAGCAGCTGCCTCATGGTTCGAACCCATGACCCAATGCTTGATAGTTATGTCCCTAAACCATTAGGCCACAGTTCCACGACGTCATACAACTTCTAGGTTTTACATTCAGATATAATATGAGTGTTTTTGATCCAGATTCTTTCACTTGCAATGAATATGAGTATTAAGCAATGATGAAACTTTGGTTTCGATAACTAAGATCTTAACAGCAAAGTCCCAACTTTTGAAAGGTTGGAAAGAGTAACATAACAAATGCACGGTACTCCTTGCCTGTATTATTTATAATTTGTTCATTCCCCTTGTCATAGACTTCTTCAGGGGTGTCTCACTCTCCACATCTCACTTCATTAAAGAATTGATTTTCCTCAAAGAGACTGTTGAGTTGATGATCAACTCTTCTATGAAGTTCTTCTGGACCCTTTTCAGAATGCTCTCTATTCAAAAAGCGAATTCTTACTTTAAGACTGGTCTGCAAACTTCTATCGACTGTGAAGGTTGAAACATATACTTGGTAGGCCTTGTTTCCGTCTTATGGAGGTCTCCCTTTCGTCGCTTGACTATATAGAGGTTGACCTAATCACAGGAGAATATTCGTTAGACCTAAAATATGCAGATGACACAGTCCTGTTAGATGAAGACGCTGACAAGATGCAGAGTCTTCTGAAAACTTTGAGTGGCAATTTGACAATGTTCACGATGCGTTTCTCATCACCCAAATGCAGACAGATGCTCCACGATTGGTCTTCAATGGTGCCTCAGCTACCAACAGAGAGTGTAGTGGTTGAGTTTATTGACTACTTCACTTACCTGGGAAGTGGGATCAGCCCTGGTAGGTCAGTGGCCGATGAAATCTCTGCATGAATACAAAAGGCTCGGTTGGCTTTTGCCAACTTACACCACCTATGGCGCCGCCGTGATATCCTATCGTCTATTGAGGATCGCGTGTACTGCACACCAGTTCGCTCTGTTCTACTCTATGGCTGTGAAACATGACCATTGAAGGTGGAAGACATGAGAAGATTTAAGGTGCTTAACCACCGTCGCCTTCGTAGTATAGGCCGTATTCCGTGGTGTCACCACGTGAGTAATGCAGAAGTCAGGTGTGGAGTTTTAAGGAGAAAAGGTAAATCAGTTGACACGGTTGTGAACCTTCATCGGCTGAAATGGTTGGGACACCGACTGCCTCGTCACAGTGTTGGCCGAAGTAGATCCAAGTTGGAAAAAGCGCCGAGGTGGTCAGACTAAAACATAAAATCAATGTATGAAGTGTTTGATTGTTGGTTTGAGCCATGTGGGGTGGTGCAGACTAGCCGGTTGGGGTCTAGGGGACAAAAGAGACAAGTAGTGGTTGGAGACTCTAGGTGATATGGCTCAGAACCGATGTCAGTGGTGCAGATGCATACACACATTTCCCTCATCTTAACGATGCTATACCGAATCTCACCATTTCCTCATTCTTCATCTTCCACTTAACCACCTTTTTTACTCGATGTACTGATGTGAGGTGTGGCAACTCGGACTGTACCGCAGTAATGCCTGGTCCTATGTTGATTGATGATGATGACCTCAAAGTGTTATGTTAGCTGAAGTAGGAATAAATTGAAGGTGATCAGAATAGAAAAGTGAGACTGAACCATGTGGTTACTATCTGTTAGTCAAAATTATTCAGGAGTAACTTGGGTCATTGCATACAGTAATGCTAAATATCATGCTAACAATGACTGATGAACAAATTTTCTCAAATCTTTAGGTTCAGTACTATTACAAGCATGAGTTATTCACGTTATAGCTAGTTTACTTACTTTCGATCTCCGTAATATAGGAAACGACAAGCTTTGCCAGCAGAATTGTTTTGCTACAATAGGAAGAAAAAAAAACCAATTTGCTAAGAAAAGATATGAATTGAAAAATTGTCATTGTTTAACAAAAAAAAAACAATTTTGTTGAAGAGTATAAAGTTGGAACAAGCTATATGGTAGTTATATTCATATCCAAATATATGTACAACAAAATTCTTCAGTTTACTTCTTCCCTCGCATATGTACCTATAAATGGATGATTATAATTGGTTGAGATCGTGAAACACTGTACATGTCGGAAGATGCGATCATGGAACAAAGATTTATCATCATCTTCAAGTGACAGGACTGATTTTGACGAACTTTTCAGTGGTGCATCATGGCGTTTCAATAAGTCACTTGCACCAGCTAAAGCGTAATTTCAGATAAGATGGTGTCGATAAGAGTTTGATGAATTCAATGACTTATCCTAGTCAACCTCCTATCCAATTTGAGTAAGTTTAAATCATTATCGGTTCACCTTGTATATCATAAATGTAAAGTTTGATATCTGTGTAGTGAACGAAAGTTTATAACATCCTTCACAATAAATTCAACAAATTTCGTTAACCAATGCATAATCATCTTAAAAAGGCAAAAATCTGATTTGCGCTAAATACGGAGATTAAAATGAAACTGTTCGACTGGACCTGACAACTGATGACCTAATCAACTTCTCACAATACACAAATCAGTATGTATACTGATTGGTCACTGAAACTCTGCTTCTTGACAATCACCTCCAACCAACTAACATGTGTACCAGTGCACTGCGATGATAAACCTCCTAGCCTGATGACTATATTGCAACGTATGTTCACTAGAATTCGACCTTCACTAGGGACTAGAGAACATGAAGTTGATTACCTTCCAGTGACCGAACAGCACGTCAATCGCAACTCAAATAGCTTGGTGGTAACGTCTCTAACTGCACCATTGAGTGACTCAGAGTCGAATCGCAGCCAGGACATGAGTTCAGTTAAGGTTGCAGATACGCCTTGCTGATAAAACCAGTGTGACCCACTAAAGCTTTCACTACACATTCTTGGTACGTCATTGTGCATTGTTGTACCTTGCGTTGAATCCATTCTACTCAGTGACAAGATTCTTCAACGTTTGAATAAACCATGTCAACTGGTGATAAGAACTAAGATGTTTGAAGCGATAACGACTTAAGAGTAATATTATTATCATTTATTTGTCCCTTGGATTCCTAGTGGAACATACGGATTCACTAGCATGTCTCCATTCCATTCTCTTCAATTCTCTGAAATCTTTTCAACCTGGCTCCACGATTGCCCTGAACCTCTCATTTCTTCCTCACACCATCTCCTACATGTCATCCTCACCTCAAACGCCCAACTCGCCGTTTCCCATCTGGGTTCCACTCCAGGGTCCGGCCTGAGCGTGATGTCTCCGAATCGTCTTCTCAGTGCATACCCAATCCAATCCATCTCCACTTCCTTCCAGTGCATATTTGTTGAGTGATAGGTTCTTGCTTCGTTGATTCGTTGCCAGCCAGAGTTCCTTGTTGTTTATTCTTATTATTCTGGATATCTGAGCTTCAGTAACGAGCCAAAGTAGGCAGCAGTTGTTGATGAATGTCTGTAGTTTGTTGGGAATCCCTTTCGTAATGCGCCAAGTCTCTCAACCATCACATAGAAGCAGTGACTTGACTGACATTGGTGTTGAAAATCCAGATGTTGTCCACGCTTTGTGCTGAGTGCAGTGCAGAAGATCTCCACACTGGTTTCAGGCTAATGAACACCTGTCTTGCTGTCTTTCCGATCCTGGCTGGCTTTGACGTCCTCGTCTGTGCCACCGCCTGTAGTTGAAACAGTGCTGCCTAGATAGGTGAAGGAGGCTACTTCCTTTAAAATTCTCCCATTGGTGATGATTGGAGCCTGTTGTTGTTGTTGGTGGTGGTGTTGGTTAGCTGTCTTCATCACCTGTTTCTTCTCTATATTCACTTGAAGTCCCGTCTTCACTGCCCTGCCTTGCTTCTTCTGTCAACTTGTTAGTTTTTGCCTGTAGATCTTCGAGTTTGTGTGACATTAAACATAAGTCATCGGCGAAATCCAAGTCTTCTAGAATCTTTTCCCTGGTCCAGCGTATTCCCCTCTTCTCCCGCTCCCCCCACTGTTTGTTGCATGATCCAGTCCACTACAATCAGGAAGATGATGGGTAATAGTAGGCAGCCTTGTTTCACTGCTGTCTTCACTTCGAAGGTATCACTGAGCTTCCCACTGTGAATTACTTATTATGGTGTCTTCATATAGTTGTTGAATGAGGTCGATAAAAGTTTGTGGTATTCCGTAATGTTGAAGCAGCAGTTGCCTATCAAATTACTTCTCGATCGACGCTGTCAAAGACCATTCTATGCTCTGTTCTATGATGACGCGAAGCGTTGCAATTTGGTCCACAAATGATTTGTACTTCCTGAATCCAGCCAACCTGCTCCGGTCGTCAATAGTCAGTTACCTTTACTTCCTTCCAGACTTTCTGCAATAGTGGTGTGAGCATGTCCACTGTTGTCTCTGCGTCTGTTCTCAGTACCTCTGGCGAAATTCCATCTGGTCCTGCTGCTTTCCCACATTTAAGCAGCTTCATGGCGCTCAGGACTTCCACTTTTGTTGGAGGATTTGTGTTCACTTGTAGTTCTGCGTCCGCAGGTGGTATTTCTGGACGAAGTGCAGGTGGTGGTCGATTCAAGAGCTTTTTGAAGTGGTAGACCCACCGTTTCCTTTGTTTCTCCTCTTTGCTAACTAGGTTTCTTTCACTATCTTTTATTGCTTTCATATGTGTTGATCTCTCGCCCCCTGGTTATTTGTTACAATGTTGTCAGGTTTCTCCAAACAGCCAGCAGCCTGTTATGCTTCACTTGCCAGTGTGTTGTAGAAGTTTCTTTTGTCTTTCCACGAACTCTTCTTCACTTCTTTGTCCAGTGTAGTGTTTTATACGCTGTACTCAGTTCCTCTTCTCGTTGTTCATTCCTGCACTGCACTGGTTTATCTTCTGCTTCACCATCTTCCTCTCCCTACTCTATCAGCTTCCATTTGTCCGTCCAGATCCATTCCTTGTCTTCTTTCTTCTTCCTTCCTCTCTTTCCACATCCCATTCAATGAGTTCCAGTGTTCATCCACATAGGTTTCTTCAGAGATGTTGCTCAATATCTCATATTTTGCTGTGATGGCTGGTGTGAAGATGTCCTTTGTAGTTTCGTCTGTCACTTTCAATTCTGGGTGTTGAACTTGAACTATGGTCGTCCGTCACCAGCTTCTGAGAAGCCTTCAACTTAATTTTGAAGGTAGGTTCCTTGCACTAGATAGTGACTGGTGTGAACCACCTATACGTGCTCCCCTTCTTGATCTGATCTTGTGTCCAGTAGGCTGCGTCTCCATCACCACTTTCTTCACATTGAGATAAAGTCGATCTGATTTTTAGTGTGTCTGGTGAAATCCATGTCACTTTGTGGATATCCTTGTGTTTGTACACACACTGCCTACCCCTAATCACCAAATCATTAAATGCACAGAAGTCTGCACACAATTCTCCATTCTCGTTCATCACCTCACCGAGCGCTTCTCCACCCATGATAGATGGCTTCTCTTCCCGTGTTATCTGCTCCCAGTTTGGCATTCATGTTACCCAACCCATTAGAATGAATTTTGATATCGCCAACTGAGTTCTTGTCCAGTGTTGATTGCAGTTGTCAGTAGAATTCGTCCTTCTTCTCCTCATCTGTATTATTTGTAGGTGCGTAACATTGTACGATTGTGACTTTTCTTCCTTTTAAGTTGAACCTTGCTGTCATTACTGCCATTTAAATGAGATAAATTTCTAGTTTGATGACATCACTAGTGAGGCCAAGTTGCTATTCGTTAAATACCACAGCTACGTTCTGATCTGATAGAATTAAATGGCTTGATTGTTTAAGTTAGATTGAGTTTACATTAAGCACATATGTTTGTGAAATGTCAATAAAACAAAGTTTCTGAAGTTTTGCGATCCAATAGAGGTCATTTCTTCAAAGAAAGAGACCAGCATATGCTATCCTATGCTTGAATGACTAATGGAACCAAACGTCTACATATGCTACAAACCTTTATCAACCTCATTCAACAGCAGCTCTATGCTATGTGAGAATGCTACATCCCAAGTGATTCACAATGGAAAGCTCAGTATTGCCTCTGAACTGAAGACAGGAGTAAGACAAGGTTACCACCTACTGTCACCAATCATCATCCTCATCGTGGTCGACTCGGCCGGATTGCACTGGACTGGATCATGCAACAAACTGTGAGTAGAGAGAAGATGGTCATACGCTGGCCGCATCAATTAAAAGACCCTACATGATTTGGATTACACCGATGACGATTTATGTCTAATGTCTTGTGTCACACAAATTCGAAGAACTATAGGTGAAAACTAACAAGTTGGCAGAAGAGAGGGGGCAGGGCAGCGAAGGAAGATCGGACTTCCTTCAGGTGAACGTAGAGAAGACACAGGTGATCAAGATACCCAACCAACAACAACGACAACAAGTACCATCAACAGGTGAAATGTAAACGATGTTATCTCTTTCACCAACCACCTAGGCAGCATCATTTCGACTATAGGCGACAGCGGCATAGATGAGGACGTCATAGCCAGCATCGAAAAGGCAAGACCAGCTTCTATTCATCTGAAATCAGTGTGGAGATCTACTGCACTGTACGCAGCATAAAGTATGAACAAGATTCGGATTTTCAACACTAATTCAGTCGTCAGTGCTTCTATGTGATGGTTGGGAGACTTGGCGCGTTACGAAAAACAGACATACATCAACAGCTGCTGCTTATGCTCACTCGATATTGAAGATGGAAATCAGATGGTCACAATAACAAGAATAAGCAACAAGGAAATCTGGCTGGCCCCGCAACCAACCAACCAAGAACGTATCGCCCAACAAATATACAGAAGATAAAAGTGGAGAGGGATTGGATTGGACATAAACTGAGCAGACCGTTTGAGAACATCAGGCGTCAGGCAGTCGAGTGGAACTCGAATGGGAAACGACGAGTTGGACGTCAGAGGGTGACATGAAGATCGTGCGAGGAAGAAATGAAAGCTTATTGGCAGTCGTGAAGCCAGGTTAAGAAGACTGCAAAAAACAGAGTGAAATGGCTATGTACTACTGAAGCCTTACGTCTCACTAGGAACCCAAGGGACAAATAGTAATAATAAATTTTAAAAAAACATCTACACATGCATAAAAGTAGAAAACGCTATGACTATTGGTTGTTACAGTTAATGAGTGCAAGGTGATAATGCAACTTTAGCATATGTGTATTCAACTAGAGCTTAAGATATCTAGGTAGTGGTTTGCCCCAGTGGTCACTATTTCTCACGAGAATTCTTGGGAATCTATTTACAAATCAAGTCAATAATGAGCGCTAGTGAGTTATTTGATTTGAAGGTTTGTGTGGATTGGTTTCATTGATTTCAAACTGGTATCCGTCACGGATTTCGACATCAGCTGTCTAGTTTTCACTAGTTGACTTGCTGTGAGATGATATTTCCCGAAGTTCCAACGAGAACTCGTGACCACTGGGGGTGAATCCAGTCAGATGTGACGGCAAATACTCAATAATCTTCCGAATTATATCTCCACCATGGTACATACAGAACAGTGACTAGTTTCGATTATCTTATTTAGGTGCAAAGTGATTGGTTTAACCATCAGTCATTCGAATGATTATTGTTGTTGAAAGTTTCTATATAAAGCAATCACTATTTCCTTGATGATATATTCAAGCAGTCTAATGTACTTCACACTTAATGTCTTAAGGGAACAGGTACACGAAGAAAACACTTTTCAACTCAGAAAATATTGTGAACGCATAAATTCTGTGGACAGGTCAACAAAAGAACCTCTTCACACAGACTACACCTATTATTCATATGTGACAAATAATACTGAAATACAATTTGGAGATTCGTAGGGATTTATTTATTCATTTTAGGTTGATATTCATCATGGACTGACATCAGTTGGAAAAATATTGGAAACCTGGAAGCACCGAACAGCTGTTTCATCCTAGTATAGGACTCCTCAGCAGTCCACATCCATGAACCCGCCTTCCAGGGATCGAAGCCAGGATCTGTAGGTCCCGCGACCAACCACTGAGCCATTGGGTCGGAATCCAATGGTTCATACTTCTGTCAGTTCACGATACAGCGCAACCTCAATCCAATGCAGTCATTATGGAACTGTCCTCATGTTTGACTTGGTTGGCCCCACTGATCACGTCCTCTCGCTAGAACTTCGGGAAACCATATCTCGAAGCCAGTCACCAATGAGCACCAAATTAATTGAATTTGGAGGTTTGTGAGGATTTTCTTCTTAATTTCAGGTTGGTTCAAAAATGAGAAATCGTGCCAAGCAGGAACAACCAAGTCGAACATAAGGAAAGTTCACTCAACAATGGCACTGGATGTATGCCGTGCTATATCGTGAATTTACAGAAGTAGGAAATATGAACCAATGGATTCCAACCCAGTGGCTCAATGGTAGCGTGCTGGCCACGGAACCTAAAGTTCCACACCTGGAGGGAGTGGTCATGGGTGCGTACTGTTGAGGAGTTACAGACTACGACGAAACAACTGTTCAGTGTTCCCAGGTTTTCAATGTTTCTCCATCAGATACCAGTCCATGATGAATACCAATCTGAAGTACTGAAACAAATGAATCTGCATGTCAACAGTAATAATAATAATAATAATAGCAGAAACGCCTTACCAGGGGATCGCATGGAATCAGTTGAAACAGTTCCTTGATATCTTTTCTAGCCTTATCTTCGGGTCGAAAATCTGAGGTCGAATCATTATCGACAACTTTTGTGCCAATAGGATCAGCTATTGTACGCAAAGAAAGCGCTACAAACAATACTTGAGCAATGACAAGCATTTCTAAGATGAATGGTAATAATGGCCAAAGTAAAACAGTTGTCATAGATGCAACTGCTCTGAAGAAATAAAGCAAAGTAACAAAAAGCAATTTGTAATAATAAACATCACCCAAGAAATGATCATATGAGAATCGTAGACGGTTAGGCATGAACATACAGACAACCTCAAACATATATATACACATATATATATATATATATATATATATATATATATATATATATATATATATATATATATACTTACTTGCTAGTCTCATTCAATATTGCAATAGCCACACGAATACGATTACGTAAGAATATTAGTATACATATAATGATGAACAAAAGGATAACAGAAACGATTCCTGTAAAGTAAAATAAAACAAAACGAAATTTACTAGTTATTAATTAATCAACATATAGAGGCAATTTTAACAGAAAAGAAATATGAACGAAATATTTTTCTACAGAGAGAAGTGAATTCATTCATCTGTAGTCTATTCTGCCGCGTTGAATGTTTGTAAGACAGAGTTGTTAAGAGTATTAGATATGAAGCGATTATAGAGTTTTGATCACAGATATCTTTGCAGTACTGCTCACTTTTGATGGAATCACTGTATGAGCAATGTTGAGGACAGGCGAATGGTATTAGACAAGACAGGCAAGTTGATTGATGAGGTTGTGAATGTTAGTCGACTAAGGTAGCTTGGACATGTGCTGCGCATACCGACTCACCGCCTACTTCGACATGGCGCAAATTCATGATACCATTTACTGTCAGGAAGATGTAGATTGCATGGTTGGGGTCTCCGTGAAGAAAGGAATCAGTGGTTGAGGACACTTAATGACATGGCTCAAAATCGGTCACACCAGCATAGATATATGAACTCGTTGACATCTTCTAAAGCTTGAATATTCGCAGTAACCGATATCTTCAGATTGTTCGTTTGCTCTCTTTTGATATCACTCCTTTTTTATCCACTTGTTCATCATGTACTACAATAAAGTGTGTCAACTTGAGCTGATGAGCCTGTGTGCGAAGTTGTACGTTGCTTTTGGCAGTCAGTCAGTCAGTTGAAATTCAGTTGTGAGATAAATTAAGAAGAAACTTGGTTACGAACGAATTCCCTCACCATTAGCCGCTTTCCTATACATTCCTGACAATATAATACCACAATCTCAGTGAAGATATGAAGTAGAAACTCGATGGTGTATGTAAACGTAAACACAGTTCAGTAGACTCACTTGAAACTTTTGATCAAAATCTCATTACCTAATTGGTATCAGGTAAAATGTCAGGATGACTTAGAACATGTTTTCTGGAAAATCTTAACTGGGACTGGAGAAAAAAGGACATGATCTATTTCAGTGACTTCATGCAAGTTTTTCTAATTTCCCTCTAACTATCGACTCGGTTCCAAGTTCAAAGCTGATCTTCAGATTTATGGAAGTCCTAACATAACTTGGTCGATTGGTCCTCTCACCAAGCAGGAAGCATCCAAGCAACGCATTCACATGAAAATGAACATCTGCCAGAGTACTCTGTTAACACCCTTTAAAACTGATCAGTGTTATCCTAGAACCCTCCCAACCGTCAGTCTTCAACGCATCCATATTCACCGATTAATCGGTTCGTTGATTGTACTTAACTCCCTGTGGGTAGACATGCATGGGATGCGTCTCATTGAAGTCTCCACAAACTTGTAGAGTGAGTGCAGCTCACCTTTCCAAAAGGCATTCCTCTTGCATGTCTGAGTCCATTAACCCACAATGCCGACAGATTCACGGCGGTGTTTCGCTTGAAGCTACTAATATACGGCCAAGGATAGGGATAAAAACATCGGCATTTCGGACCACCTTCTCAAGGTAAACTACACCCACTCTTTTGGGATTACTTCAACAACAATGATTACCGAAATTAGGAAGCTGGATTCACCTTACCTTTAGGTTGCACTGCTCCCACGGCACTGGGCGGAATCATAACGACTAAGTTAACTAGATGGTGTATTGGCTAGCTGATGTCCAGCGGGGTGATGATGAGGCTCATCGTTGTATGCAACCAGGCGCGACCTGTGATCCCCAGTACACATAATATCTCCGGTTTTCAGAAGATTAAAAAAAACAATCTTCAGCCACGTCATCAGCAACCTTAATCCATTGATTTCTATAGTCTCGATGACCCCAGACAGACAATCTACACCTTCTCACATGGCTCAGACTAACAGTCGTCGACTGGTGCCACCTCTTGGTCTGGTTACCCTTACCCTTTATACAACCCAATTCTATTTCGGCTAACATTGTACGTCGAGGTAGGCGGCGGACCAGCATGTACAACATCTATCAGAGCTACTTACTTCAGTTCGTAAAGGTTCACCACATCGCCTAGTGCCGTCTACCTAGCCTCGATATAGCCCACATAGTGATTTCATCATATGCAAGCATTGCTCCAAAGACAGATAAGGTCAAAAAACCTGTAATCTCTTCATACCTTTTACTTTCAAAAGTCGTGTTTCATGGCTGTATATGAGGATGAAGTGGACTACAGTGCAGTTTACTTATTGTTTAATAGATAGTTGAATATCTCACCAGTACCCAAGATGAAGTAAATAAGGAAATGCTGAAAGGGGCTTATAGCATGGGAACAGATTTCATCAGCAAACCAACTCGTTCAGACTGATGAAACATCTCTAGTAAATGAAGTGACCAACGATATCTATCACTTCACTCCTTATTTTTAAACTGGAAGTAGCTGTAGGCTAAGTAGTAAGGCATCCCTCTACATTTGCAAAACGCATAACGAATATACACAGTTTCCCGCTTAAAGGGTAAAGATCTGATCGATACATTCATGCTCAGGTCCGAAATCGATTCGGTTTTCTCGATCAAGATAAGGGGAATGGATGTTAACATATGATTGATAATTGAGTGTTGAAACACCTGTATTATGCATATTGAACATCACAAATCAGTCAACATAAAAAGCCACATATGCTGTCTTGACGTCAGGTGCACAAGGCGTCACGACGGTCAGTTCTGCTCTACACCAATGGATTCTTGTTTCTGAGTTGAGGAAGCTCAACAGCTGTGTCCAATGACGATTGTCTCGTAGGATTGCTAACATTCAGCAAGAAATTCTGATGTACAGCTGAGCGTAACAGAGTGAAGTCATTTTGAGAAATTGACTTCGGCGCCTACCATACTGCCTACTGTTTGATAAGTGTAAGACCAGCTGGAAGCTGCGAAGCGAAATGGGGTCGCAGAATGAAGTAAAAATAATTTGACGTAGCATCTGTTGATGCCTCACGACTCAATGAATAAAAGGAATGAGAAATTATGCGATTCTGTGGCTTATAATGACAAAAAAAATTTGAACAAGAAAGTATTTAACGCATACTTAGGAATTACTTCTGCGAAATAATTTACTTAAGAATTTCTTTAAAATTTCTTATTCATTCATCAACCTAGTAAGGGGTCTTAAAGTGTTAATCTATGTAAAACCTGAAAGAAATAATTTCATTATTAAGCAAGTTGGTAACACGTTATACCATGAAATGTATACAAAACATTTTGTAATGATCTCTAGAATGTCAAGAAAAAACTAACCTAAGGCAAGCCATGTCGACGCTAAACGGAAGTAAGAGGCTAGATCTAAGGAGAACTCAAAATCAGCAGAACCATCGGGAGTTTTACGTAATACATTCCATCGATAGAAACAGAATCCAGTGCCTAAAAATAAAACAATGTTTTTTTTGTTACAAAACTGAAAAAACTAACAAGTTCTCAATTCTCGTAGTTCAGTTGGTAGAGCATCGGGCAGGAAAACCGGTGGTCGCTAGTTTGAATGCGGCCGTGGTTTGAATTTTCATTTCACATTCAATCATCACCCAGTATCAAAAGGATAGTTGGCAATATAATGAACTTACTAAGCAGCACTTTATTTAATATATCATGTACACTATGTGTGCGTGTGTATGTATTGAGCGGTTTCTCGGATGGCATTCATATGACTTGCCATTTCTATGATCATTTAATTGTCGATAACTGCTTCTGTTTCCGACTTCAGGCGATGGATACCAGTTTCAATTCCCCTCCCCACACCTCTTTCATCTGCTTCAGTCTCGGCAAGCATGTAGTAGTAGTATCATAAGACCCACACAATAACAAATTTGTCTTATAATGGAGTATATAAGCAAGTGCCTCAGTGGTAACGTGCTGACCGCGAAACCTGAATATCATGGGTTCGACATCTGGGAAGCGAGTTCATGGGTGGGCAGTGCTGATGAATTCCATACTAGGACAAAAAAGCTGTTCACTACCCCAAGGTTTTCAATGTTTGTTCAAATAATGTTAGTTCAAGATGAAAAGCAACCTGGAATTTGAGATATATAATACTATTTATTATTTTTTTTCCTTGGGTTCCTAGTGGAACACAGGGCTTCAGCGGCCCACCTCCATTACACTCTCTTCTCTCCAGTCTTTAGAACCTAACCCCACAAACTTTCATTTCTTCCTCACATCATCTACTCCATGTCACCTTCACCTCGAATACAAAACTCATCGTTTCCCATCTGCATTCCACTCGACGGACTGGCCTGGCCTCGCCTAGCAAGCCGCGTGATGTCCCCAATCAGCCATCTCACTGTATACCCAATCCAATTCAATCCAACCCATCTCCACTCTCATCCTCTGCATATTTGTTGTGTGACAGATTCTTGATTGGTTCATTCCCACAGTTCCTTCTTGCTTATTCCTCCTATTCTCACCATCTGATCATCAGTATTGAACCAGCGTAGACAGCTGTTCATCAATGTCTCTAGTTTGTTGCAAGTACCTTTCGTCACGCGCCAACTTTGTGAACCATATAGAAGCACTGACTTTACACTGGTGTTCAAAATCCGGATCTCGTTCACGCTTTGTGCTGACTGCAGTAGATCTCCACACTGATTTAAGAATAATGAAGGTCTGTCTTGCTTTTCCAATCCTACCTGGCTTTGACATCTTCGTCTGTGCCTGTGCTGCCTGTAGTTGAAACGATGCTGCCTAGGTAGGTGGGTAGGTGAAAGAGACTACTTCGTTTAGGTTTCTCCCGTTCAGAGTGATTGGTGCTTCTTGTTGTTGTTGTTGGTGGTGGTGGTGGTTGGGTATTATGATCACATTTGTCTTCTCCACATTCACTTGAAGTCTCGTTTCCGCTGCCTCTTCGAGATAGATATACTGACATTAAAAAATCCAACGTTTAGAATTTAATGTTTTCGGTAGACCGTTCAGTATGTTGAACGTAAAGCGCAAAACCTTATTGAAATCGAATAAAAGAAATGACCAACACATTATCAACTGTTGCGATGTTAAACAATATACTAGTCACATCATACCTAAGGCAAAGATTTATGATTCCAAAAAAATTCTATAAGCGAATAAATTTACATATCACATACATGTATAATTACGATCACTATGGTAATATGTGCTGTACCAAGGTAACTTGGAAATACATATAATTTTCAGTCATACCTTATATCATGTTAGCTAGTATACTTCAACTAGTTGACTCAGTCATAGAAAAACATACAAGTACAGTTGATACAGGATGTATAGCGAGAGATATCAATACACTTTATAAGTGCTTGGATTGTATACAATAAGGTTAGGAAAGACGGTATGTTTGCTTTAGATTATTAACATGCAAACATCCGAAAATGCTATGGTTTAAGGAACAATTCATATGCACACTGAACAGACAGGTAAACACGATCGACAGAAGACCTGGGTATTACTGTGTAATGGTTCAAGAATTTAGATGAAAGATGAAGAAGTGAAGAATAAGAAAGCAGTTAAAGTAGAGGAAACTAACGATAGGATAACACGAAGGAATAAGGAAATACCGAATTCAGCATAATGATTGAGATAAGGTTATTGCGTGGATACATCTGAGCCAGATCACCTAGGATCTCTAACAATTGGTTTCTCTTACCACTTGGACCCCCAACCACGAAGTCTGCATTCCCTTGCATGGTTCAGACCGACATTTCAAGATTTCATGCAACGATATCATGTTTCGTTCTGGTTGTCCTGAGCCTTTTCCCAAACTAAACCTACTTCAGGCAGCATTGTGCGACGAGGCAAAAAACAGTCACCAAACACGAGCAACACATGTCCCGGGCATTTCAGTTGCTGGAGGTTCAGGACCTTATCAACTGACTTTTGCTTTACTCACATAGTGACACCATGATACACGGCCTACGCTATGAAGGCAACAATGATCAAACACCTGAGGCCTTCTCGTGTACTCTACGTTTAATGACAATGTTCCACGGTCATACAGCGGCAATTGGATATCACAGCGGTGTCACGAATGACAAAAGCTGGTGAAAGCCAATCAAGACATTTTTGTCCGTTTGGAGATTTTGTCGATGATTGACCCATCAGGGTTGATTTGATTTCCCAGGTAAGTAAAGTGGTCAATACGTCTAACCATTTCACTACCTATTGTTAGAGGATCCACCACTGAAGACCAGACCGTGAGCAACAGTTTGCATCCAGGTGGCGACAATCGTATCCCAAACATTTTCACATTGACACTCAATGTGTCCAGAAGACTCCGTATCTTATTAGAGTCTTAACCTAACAAAACTATATCATAAATGGAAAGCTAGAAATCGAAAATATAATCAGGGTAAGAAGCTAACTCGTGGACACTTAATAAGTGAACGTGCTTTAACATAGGTTAGATTGCTAGTGAAATAAATGATGAAACTATCTTCTTTGTTTATGTAAAACAGATCAACTTTTATTACAACATCATATATGTTTACATATTCACCCACAGTGTTTCAGTCAGTCAAAATCAGAAACGATATCAAGTAAAGCCGCATAAAATCGTGAAAAGAGAATGAGACAGTGATGAAATTCAGTATGATGATAGGAATAAAATGTGGAGATATCTGCACCATTGTGATAAAATCCTCATCTATATCATCTCGAACCTTCAACCATCGATTTCTGTAGTTATATGAACACCAACTGGAAAGTTTACACTTCCCTACTTGACTCTAGTCGACAACCAAAGACTTTATGGATTGATGCCATGGTTTAGTCTGGTCACCGTTAATTTTCTTCTAGTCTGAACTTAATTCAGATGATACTGTCCAACGCTACAAACGGTGACTAGGTATACATAACACATGCCCAGTCATCACCTAAGTCCATAAACATTCATTTTATAATGAGCAGAAAGATTGACAAAATCTTCACAACAAGCTACATATGCCTAAACCATTTTCCAACCAACCGCTACGCTTCGAAATTTCAAGAAGAAACACGTCAATCTACATGTAAGTATCAGGTTAGTTGAAGAGATGAAAAACCAATAGAAGTGAAATCTAGTGGGCTTGGAAATAGTCTACGTCATTGCAATATGTATAAGCCTTGTAATTTGTATATATTGTTGACGTTGTAAATACACCTTCTGTTCTATTACCGCCTTTTCTATTTACGGTGAAATTGAGTGATCAGATAGGGGTGGAATTTGAAGTCAGTGGTAAACATATACAAAAGTGGTGACAGGTAAAAATACGCGACTCTTCCTAATGAAGAGTTTCTAGCTTTTTGCAACAGAAACAAATGCTGGATGACATCCAGGCAGAATCTACATTCATAGGCCCTGAGATTTTGAAAAAGACTTTTCGTAAATACTCCAATGATGAACACAGTGAAGCTGAAAATGAATCCAAGAAGTCTGATAATATGAATCATGTTACGTCAATGAGTGAGAACGATGTTCACCCTTCCACTAACCATCAAGAAATAGTAAATGATGCAGACATTCAGTCAGATCATGTTGATGAAAACCATGAAGTACTTACTTGTCGAGAGTTTGCAAAATGATGTAACATGTTTAGTGCCATTCAGTCTTTCTACAATCATACCTTATAATGGATGTCCACAAGAAGTTATCAAGGAGTACCAGTGCAAGCCCAAACATCAACGTCAACAATTACACAGATACACAAAGTGGTTCACTTTTCCTGCACACGCACCAATTGATATAGTTGCTTTGCATCATGGTGGATCACCTTATCAAAGACCATTTATGTCCATACGAGAAAATGGACACCAGGACTGTGTGAAAACAACTAGAAAAATCCAGATCTGTCTAAATTTCCAGTGAATCAGGCGGTCACAAGTAAGTCATCGAGGTAGTATACAATGGTGTTGACTATGGTGATTCATTGCATAGCGGAGTATCTTATCATTCCGACTAACTACATCTAGATTACTCTGACTCAAACTAGGCACCAGATCTCAGACTATCCATCTGGAAAAGTGAAACTTGTTGGCAAACAGAAGCAAAATAGTATGACAGCACCTCCTGCTTAAAAAAGTCTAAGTGAATTAGTTTCATTGAGGTTGACAAATTTATGTAACTATTTCACTGTTAAAAGTCTGATCACAACACTTAAATCTACACAACTGGTTGAGATGAACTTAAAGCATTTTCGCAGAATCAGTGACGTATAATATTGAAATGTCACATTTAACGCTATAGGGAAAGGTTTCCGCAAATACGTATCAGTCTAATTCTTTTAAGCGCGGAGGAAAAGGTTCATTAAATAGCCTTCTCCAAAGTGTCAGCAAATCATTCCTCTCATTTCAAACTGCAATTAAGTTATTTCAGACTACGTTACAGAATAGATACAACAGAAAAGTTTTTGAGGGAGTTGTGGAGATTTGGAATTATTTCAAGTTGAAGGTCGCGGGTTCGATCCCTGCTGGTGGGGTCGTGGGTGCGCACTGCTGAGGAGTCCCATACTAGGACGAAACGGCTGTCTAGTGCTCCCAGATTTCTTTTGTTCCTCCAACTGATGTCAGTCTACGATGAATAACAACTTGAAACAACAGAAAAGTATTAAGGAATAATTTGTCACGATCCAGTGAAATGTTACTAGTCAGTCAATCTCTATTTCAAAGGGGAGGTGTTACAGTGTGGAGAGAAGATTATCAAAATCTTCATAACAAGCCACATATGCCTAAACCATTTTCCAACCAACCGCTACGCTTCGAAATTTCAAGAAGAAACACGTCAACCTACATGTAAGTATCAAGTTAGTTGAAGAGATGAAAAACCAATAGGAGTGAGATCTAGTGGGCTTGGAAATAGCCTAGGCCATTGTAACATATATATATATATATATATATATATATATATATATATATATATATATATATATATATATATATATATAATGCCCTTGTAATTATATATATCATTTGAACAAAGGAAGAACAAAGACATTTACAGAATAAGATGGGCTCATTTTATTTCATGGCCTTTCATCAGCTGCAAACAACCTATGATTGAAATGAAGTATTAGCAGTAGTAATGACATGATAATATGCTTCAAATCTGTAGAAATAAATGAAGATTTGAAATGAGGATTAACAATAATGTAGTGAGTGAATCAAGGAAACATAGGATTAATAAATACAAACCTAAGTCAACTAGTAGTTCTCAAAACTCAGACAGTTTAACATCACAGTTTTGTTGATAAGTGCTATGGAACGGTGCATACTAGAATAGAATAGTTTCATCTTAACCCCACTCCCTGATGCTTAGTATGGATGTAGAAGTCGGAACGTACTCAGTAGGCATGTGTACGTTCGTGTAGTAAGTAATTAGCCACATCTATTGTGTGAAGATCAATGATACCATTTAGCTTTCCGCATATCGGTAAACAAGTCGGGGGTTCGAACTTGCGACGTACTAAGAGAAAATCAACTACATAAACCAATGAGCCACATCTCCAATAATATGGATGTCTAGTAAACGGTTAAACCTGATCATGCTGGTTAAACATGCGAACATGAGTGAATGCAGACATCCAATTATGTAGTTTAGGGATATATTAAACACACTGCAATTTGTCTATCAAGTACTTAAACAACTCATCTCTTCATCTAAGATTTCTAATAGGTTTTATACCTTACTTTGTCACATTTTACACTGAGATCTCCATTAGCCCTACCATGTAAGCATAGTTTACTTTAAAATTACAAGAAGAAAAACAAAAATTACTCACCAAAAGTGAATAAAGCCACAAATAAGGCTAAAGTAGTCCAAACCATAACAGTTGCACAATATCGCAATAGAACAATCCAACAGAACGATAAAACTACAGATATCAGAATGCATCTAAAAAGCATAACGTGGTAGAAAAAATAATAATAAATAACACCATTTGCTTCAAGTTATATTCAGATGTATATGAATTTCACTTTTAACAGTAAAGTAGTGCAAAGACAAACTCAACATATCGTCCCACTATGGGACTCTTCAGTAGTGTGCACCCATGACCCCACCTCGATAGGGATCGAACCCAGGACCATTAGGTTTTGTGGGCAGCATGTTGCCATTGAACCACTCGATCACAACACAATGGTCCATATTCCCAACTCTTGTCAGTCCACGATGTATCGCGGCCTCCATTCCATGTCGTAGTTGAGTAACTGTCTTCATATTCAACTTGGTTGACTCCGCTGGTCACGACTTCTCACTAGAATTACGGGAATCACTTCTTAACGTTAGCCACCAGTATGTACTAGTCAGGAGTTGGAAACTTGAACCCTTAGATTTCGACCCAGTAGCTCAGTGGTAACGTGCTAGACATGGACCTGAAAATCTTGGGTTCGATCACTGGAGGGCAGGGGGTCATGGGTGCATACTGCTGAGGAGACCCATACTAGGATAAAATAGCTGCCCACTGCTCCTAGGTTTCCGGTGTTTCTTCACTCGATGTCAGTCCATGATGAATACGAACTTGACATCAGAAGGAATTAAAGGCAGAAAGCTCATACAATTTCAAAAAACCTTCAGATTCCGCAGCCAGCACGTTACCATTGAACCATTGGGTTGGAACCCAATCATCCACATTTCCTACTTATGTCAGTTCATGATACTGCACGCCTTCCATCCAATGCCGTCATTGAGTAACTGTCCTTAAGTCCAACGAGGTTGCCTCCACTTGGTCATGACTTCTTATTAGAACTTCGAAAGATCTTATCTCCAAGGGAGTCAGTAGTGAGCATTAAAGGGTTTGTGGGGATTTATTTATTCATTTCAGGTTGATATTCATCATGGACAGACATCAGCTGGAGAAACATGAGAAGCCTGGGAGCACTGGATAGTTGTTTCGTCCTAGTATGGGACTCCTCAGCAGTGCGCAACCAAGACCATCAGGGATACAGTAAATTAAATTAAAATTACACAATAAAATCACTTTTATTAGAGTTTATTTTTATTGTTGGTGATTTACAGAAAGCTGACTTTAACGTATAAAAAATGTGTAAATGGACAAATGACAATTACATTTTTCAGTCATATGAACCAAACCTCTACCCTATGAACTAATTTCATATTGTAAACATTAACTGTTTTAATCAATATGTTGTTTGTGTTATAACTAATGAAATAAACTAATTACTGACCAATTGCATTGTTCACTCCATTATATATTCATGTAACCTTACTTTAAATTATTAAACTTTTTCAAACAAATGTATTCCTGTTTATTGATACTTCTACTTCAAGTGCCTGCGGCTAACAAGTCCCAAACAGGACAAAACGCGTATTTTAGATACGACTGCTAGCCACTATCAAGTAAACTGTTTAAAATAAATATTCCTAGTTTATATTACACTAATGGTCACCAAAACCATAAGTAACTTTGTTACAAGTGAAAAGCTGTCCAATGAAAAGCTTGTTTTATATATAAAGCATCATCTAAAACTTGTAGGAAAAGATGATAAAATTAGAAGACTCTAATCAATAGACTTCTTCATAACTCCATGATTATCAGGTCCTCTAAGTCTTTCATATAGTCAACGTTATAAAAGACATCACAATGCGAAACATCCAAATCTAAGTATGCCACTTTTAAAATCGGATAATCTAAGGAATACAAACCAGAAATTAAAAAAAGCCCTCAACCATGTAAAAACTTCTCCCGTGTAATATTTGATATGGTCAAGAGATGAGACCCTCTATGATATTCTTGAAGGGAAAAAAGCAATTTCATATTAGAAAAGTTATAACATGTAGTAAAGGAATCGCTGAATTAGATAGCCGAGAACTGATTTCAAAATGAGTTTAGATAAGAAATGAAAACAAAATATTCCAAGTTGTTTTTCATCATGGACTGACATCAGTTGTAGGAACAAAAGAAACTTGGGAGCAATGGATAGCTGTTTCGTCCTAGTATGGGACTCCTCGGCAGTGTGCAACCAAGACCCTGCAAAAGATCGAACTCGCCACCTTCAGGTTTCGTGGCCATCATGTTACCATTGAACCAATGGGTCAGAATTCAATGCTTCATATTTCCAAGTTCTGTTAGCCCACGACTGATGTCAGTCTACGATAAATAAACAACTTGAAATATTTCCAAATCCCCATAACTCTGTCAAGAAAAAAAATATTAGTCGAACACGTAGTATCATCTCTAGATGTCAATAAACTGAATAAGAAGACACAGGAAAGGAGGGATATCAAGGTGGTGAAGTGAATAAGAGCTAAAATTATGTTCACGCAACATATACTACAAACTTGAAGTTCATATATTTCATAATGAATTTTATAGATATTCTGTGGTGATTATCTCTAGTGATCACGAGGTGTATTTGTCTAGAATAGATAAACCACGTTATTGACTAAAACAAGAAAAAAAATAACAAAATGAACCCTTAAACTGTGTGTAAATTTCGTTTGATAATATATCCGTTTCATTTCCAAAAAGTAAGTGCAGACTGAGCATTTTTAGAAAGAAAAAAAAAGCTAATTATCAAAAATACAAAGTGCATTTTACAAATAATAGTAAGTAATATACAAAACAATATACAGACGATATGAAGGGCTTTTTGTATCATTATTATTATCATTAATATTATTATTATTATCATAATTATTTGTTTTTCCCTTGGGAACAAAGGGCTTCAGCAGCCCACCTCCATTACACTCTCTTCTCTCCAGTCTTTAGAACCTAACCCCACAAACTTTCATTTCTTCCTCACATCATCTACTCCATGTCACCTTCACCTCGAATACAAAACTCATCGTTTCCCATCTGCATTCCACTCGACGGACTGGCCTGGCCTCGCCTAGCAAGCCGCGTGATGTCCCCAATCAGCCATCTCACTGTATACCCAATCCAATTCAATCCAATCCATCTCCACTCTCGTCTTCTGCATATTTGTTGTGTGATAGGTTCTTGATTGGTTCATTCCCACAGTTCCTTCTTGCTTATTCCTCCTATTCTCACCATCTGATCATCAGTATTGAACCAGCGTAGACAGCTGTTCATCAATGTCTCTAGTTTGTTGCGAGTGCCTTTCGTCACGCGCCAACTTTGTGAACCATATAGAAGCACTGACTTTACACTGGTGTTCAAAATCCGGATCTCGTTCACGCTTTGTGCTGACCGCAGTCGATCTCCACATTGATTTAACATCAATTTCATTAAGCCTGTCTTGCTTTTCCAATCCTACCTGGCTTTGACATCTTCGTCTGTGCCTGTGCTGCCTGTAGTTGAAACGATGCTGCCTAGGTAGGTGGGTAGGTGAAAGAGACTACTTCGTTTAGGTTTCTGCTGTTCAGAGTGATTGGTGCTTCTTCTTGTTGTTTTCGCTGCCTCGCCCCTTCTGTCAACTTGTTAGTTTTCGTCTGTAGATCTTCGAGTTTGTGCGACATTCAACATAAATCATCGGTGAATTTCAACTCTTTTATAGTCTTCTCATCTGTCTAACCTGTAAATATTATTTATTCCCCTAGAACTAGAAGTAAATTTGTATGACGAGACTCATTCTAAAAAACGTTATTTATGGATCTATACCCACTATAAAAAAATACACACAGGAATGAAATCAACGTAGAACCTCACAGACAGGTGCATAGTACGAAGCTGTAATACATCACAGAAGTATACACAGAACAGGTGAGCAGAGAATGACTGATATCAAAGCCGAAAAAAATTGTGTGAGACAATAAGGAATCTGAAGGTAACTGTTAGTCTGAATATCCAAACATTAGATGTCAAAGAGTGAATACATCTGCGCCGTTGTGACAGATTTTCAGCCATGTCACCAACAGTCTTCAGCCATTGATTCCTATCATCTAGCGGACACCAGGCAACCAGTCTACATCTCTCCACACACAGATCACACCACACGTTAGAGACTTTATGGACTAAAGTCGCGTCTTGATGTGGCCACTCTGAACCTTCTAATAACCTAATCCAACTTCTTGTAGCACTGCACGTCGAGGTAGACAACAGCTCAGCATGCCATCTCATCCGATGACGGTTCACAACCTCATCGACTGACCTGCCCAGCACCCTTCACCAGACCTCAATATTGTTCCTATAGTGATTCCATCAAAGGCGAGCAATGCTTCGAAAACACCTATGATTAGAAACCTGTAACCGCTTCGTATCTTCTACTTTTAACGGTTATGTCTCACAGTTGTTTAACAGGACAGAACAAACTGCAGCTTAGTATATTCATCATTTGATAGGTAGTCGAATATATCGCCAGTCAGCGACACAGGTGATCTAAGTTGGCAAATTTCAAGTTGAGATTTCGTCAGCATCCACCCCGTTCAAGTGGATGTAACTACTCAAGTTGGTTGAACCGAGTTGAAAAGTAGACTTCTGGTGGTTGGGGACCTGAGACGATATGGACCATCATACATTATACAGGATTTCATTATGGTTTCATTCCTCTTTGTTCTCTTTTCACTACTTTTTACCAATTTGAGTAGTATCCTCGTTAATTCTTGATGTTTTAGCTTGATACAATTGTCGCTCGTTGTGATGATATGAATTATGATAGGCTGAATCGTTATTCAGTACAGCCACATCTCATGTTAATACTGATTGATAATCACTTACAAATTCGTTACGCATCATTCCTTTATGCTCAATACAAATAAGGATGGTATGTTGTTGATAAACTAAATTCGCTTCATATCATTTTTCTACAAAATCCTTTCACTTTTAACTGAAAATGGCTGTTAAACTCAAGAATAAGACATGGTTTACACATTTAAAGAAGCGTAGATGGTGTGATGTACAGTCAAATATCATACATATAAGTGTAGATTTGCAATTTGTAAAAAATCGAATCATAATGCGCTTAGCAATCATGTGCTTATTCGTACAATGTGTCACATATATTGTATGAGGGCTAGTGATACTACCCGGCTGCCAAAACTTCGATAGATGGAATGGGGTTCAAACCCATGGCCCATTGGTTAAAAATCATCTCCAATTAAATCATATCTTACTTGACATCATCTATAATGTTAAAAGGAATTGAGTAGTGAATAACTACAAGAAATTCATAGTTTTGCAACGTGTTGATTTAAAGAGTTTCAAAAGAGAACATCCTAGAAGTCCATGAAGTTTTTCTCCGAACCATTACAAACACTTGTCGATGAAATACCCACAAAATGTGTGTTTTACCACAGATTAACTAGAGACAAAAAGCCTCAAAACAAGCTTATTAATTTAGCAACAATGTAACACAAGAGTCATTATTAGTATTATTATTAAAATTTAATTTAACTTACGTCACTATAACATGCCAAGTTTGACGAAGATCTGCAACAATTTTCTCAAAAACTGTCACCAGTTCCATAACTAATCTGAAAATAAAAGTAGGTTTATTCAAAGTTAATCGAAATTATTATCATTATTATTTGTCCCTTGGACTCCTAGTGGAACATACGGTTTCAGTAGCATGTCTCCAATTCATCGTCTTCTCTGCAGTCTTTTGAACCTGGCTTCACCACTACTCATAAGCTTTCATTTCTTCCTCACACCATCTCCTCCATGTCACCCTCGGATGCCCAATTCGTCGTTTCTCATTCGGGTTCCACTTGACGTCCCTAAATGGTCTTCTCAGTGTATGTTCGATTCATCTCCACTTTCGTCTTCTGCATATTTGTTGGGTGACGGGTTTTTTGCCAGAGTTAGAAATTAACACAGAATATGAGTTAAATTTGTACACGTTTTTAACGTCAATCAAAGTTCAACTACATAACGATTAAATCTCTAGAATCTTCCAAAACCCCCAAATTCAATTGAACTAATGCTCAACGGCGACTAGCTTCAGCAGGTAATTCCTGAAGTTCCAATTAGAAGTCGTAGCCGGTAGGGCTAACCTGGTAGCCATGAGGACAAATACTTAACGATGATATTGGGTGATGGTCGCACTATGACGTGAACTGACAGACGTTGGAAATATGAACCACTCGATTTCGAATCAGTGTATCAATGGTAACGTGCTAGTCACGGAATCCGGGTCCTTGGTCCGACCCCCGGAGAGGGGATTCATCGGGGCACACTTCTGAAGAGTCCTATATTAGGACAAAACTGACGTCTAGTGCTTGTAGGTGTTCAATATTTCTCCAACTGATACCAGTCCAGTTCAACTTGAAAAAAATCTCTAAATCCCAACAAACCCCTAAATTCAATTATATGTGATAAACTAAAGAAATTTACAACTAGTAAACTAGGCATAACAGGAACATAGTTGCTCTTCACATTTAATGCACTGTACATATCTGATATCGACCTTATAAACTGTGCACTACCCTACTGTAATACAGTTTAGTCGTTAATATGTAGTAAATAAACTTAAAGATACTACTTTATGCTCTCTATACGCATAGAAGTTCTTTCATGTGGTATAACTAGTGTAAATATGTAAATCTATTCATCAGTGTATGGGGACAAATTGTACATTCCTATTAACCTTTGCATAATTTATATCATCTATAATATAGTAAAAACTAATGACATAAAGAATCACCAATATTAAGAGAAAGAAAACAAAGAGATTTATTTTTATGATTATTATTATCATTATCATTAAAGAAAAGAAATAAGACAGTATGGATATTTAAAAGAAAAAGAACACGATTTAAAATCAACATTCCAAGATGTCAACAGTATTAGTAATAGAATAGAAAACCTATAACATGTCTTCATTTACCTACGTTAACAACAATAAATATTATAATTAATGAAAATAATAATTTGAGGGATAAGTTTATTGACCAAATAGAAACACTATGGAAACCCTTAGGTAATAATACACTTTAAACTATTCAATAGTATACAAAGAGTATGTTATTCAACTCAATGAAATGTTCTAGTAGTGTCTGACTCTGAAAGGAGTATCGAGTGAGTATATATAATGCGAAAAGATAGGCATACACTGGACAGATGAGAAGACCATAGAAGAGTAGGATTTCGCCGACGATTTATGTTGAATGTCGCATAAACTCGAAGATCTACAGACAAAAACTAACAAGTTGATAGAAGGGGTGAGGCAGCGATAACGGGACTTCAAGTGAATGTGGAGAAGACAAATGTAATGATAATACCCAACCAACAACAAGAAGCACCAATCACTCTGAACGGGAGAAACCTAAACGAAGTAGTCTCTTTCACCTACCCACCTACCTAGGCAGCATCGTTTCAACTACAGGCAGCACAGGCACAGACGAAGATGTCAAAGCCAGGTAGGATTGGAAAAGCAAGACAGACCTTCATTATTCTTAAGTCAATGTGGAGATCGACTGCAGTCAGCACAAAGCGTGAACGAGATCCGGATTTTGAACACCAGTGTAAAGTCAGTGCTTCTATATGGTTCACAAAGTTGGCGCGTGACGAAAGGCACTCGCAACAAACTGGAGACATTGATGAACAGCTGTCTACGCTGGTTCAACACTGATGATCAGATGGTGAGAATAGTAGGAATAAGCAAGAAGGAACTGTGGGAATGAACCAATCAAGAACCTATCACACAACAAATATGCAGAAGACGAGAGTGGAGATGGATTGGATTGAATTGGATTGGGTATACAGTGAGATGGCTGATTGGGGACATCACGCGGCTTGCTAGGCGAGGCCAGGCCAGTCCGTCGAGTGGAATGCAGATGGGAAACGATGAGTTTTGTATTCGAGGTGAAGGTGACATGGAGTGGATGATGTGAGGAAGAAATGAAAGTTTGTGGGGTTAGGTTCTAAAGACTGGAGAGAAGAGAGTGTAATGGAGGTGGGCCGCTGAAGCCCTGTGTTCCACTAGTAACCAAAAGGAGAAAGAATAATAATGTATAATGATAATCAAAGCTGTCTACTCGAATTCATAGCGCCGTGTTAACAACTTACGGAGAGTTGTCATTAGAATTGACGACAACTAACGGTGTGCATCCAGGATGCAGGTGTCACCATTCCTACTAGGTGAGGCCGCTGACAAAATGTGAACGCGTTGTGCACAAGTCTGAGTACGTTAGATGATACCTCAGACATGACTGATCTACAGCTACTCGCAGTTTGGTGATACAGAGTCAAGTGATGGAATGTGTCAATCACTCCACTTACTTGGAGAGTTGCATCACCCAGAAGGAGATGGTCGCTGACGAAATCTCAGCTCGAATACAGAAGGCTTGTTTGGTACTTGCCGATTTACGTCACCTATACCGCTGAATGGCGAGGTATTCGAAAGACGAATATACAAAGCTGCAGTTCGTTCTTTCCTGCTATACGGCTTATGAGATATGGCCGTTGAAAGTAGAAGATACGAAGCGGTTACAGGTTTGGATCACAGGTTTCTTCGTAGCATTGCTCGTGTTTGGTGGAATCGCTACGGGAGCAATGTTGAAATCAGGCGACAAGGTGCTGGGTAGGTCGATTGATTAGGTTGTGAAGCGTCATTAGATGAGATACCTTGGATATGTACTACGAATGCTGAACCATTGTCTACCTCGACGTGCAGTGCTACAGGAAGTTGGATTAGGTTATTAGAAGGTTCAGAGTGGCCACATCAAGACGCGACTTTAGTCCATAAAGTCTCTAACGTGTGGTGTGATCTGTGTGTGGAGAGATGTAGACTGGTTGCCTGGTGTCCGCTAGATGATAGGAATCAATGGCCGAAGACTGTTGGTGACATGGCTGAAAATCTGTCACAACGGCGCAGATGTATTCACTCCTTGACATCTTCTAAGGCTTGAACATTTTTAGTAATCTTTATCTTCAGATTGCTTCTCCTTCTATACATCTTTGTCTATTATGATACAAGTTTCTATCTACTTGTTCTTTGTACACTCTTGTGATGTCTGGTAATTTGAAGCAATACATTTATGTGAGAGGTTCTACATTGATTCTGTTTTGTCATCCAACTCAATCAATGATGGGTGCACAGTAAAAACAATGAAAAGTATTCTATTAATTTATTTTAGACAATGAGCTCTTCTGCTTTGTGTAAGCTTATTTTACACTTTATGATTGCTTCAAGTTGTACGCAAACAGATGAGATCGGGTTTCAATACAACCCACTAGCAAGTTTGGCCGTATCCATGCAGACAATTACTTACTCAAAAAGTCGAAGTGTACTCAGTAACCTTGTGTACGTCTGCCCAGTAGGCAAAGCAACCAACCTATTTTTTTGATGGCTAATGATATGAACTCGTTCTTCAAACCTCGGTAGGTGGAGCGAGGGTTCGAACCCGTGATCCGTTAGTTGAAAGCTATGTCCCTAAGCCAGTAAGCCATAGCTCTACAACAACATAAATTAAAATATACTTTCCATTTACAGAAAGAACTGAACTGAAAGGAAACACCATTGATATGAATCAGTAAGGTGAATAATGACAGACTGCCACTTAGATGTTGGATACATAGTGGTGTACACTTTGGGTGCTTAACCTAACAGTTAGGACTTCATTGGCTATACAACTAAACAAAATCAGTTGTGTCTTTTCAGGAAAGTAAAACACAATAACACTAGCCTTCTAAGTAGATAGAAGGGAAAACTTAAAGAGGAAACACATGCGAACCGCCAACCATTTTATACCAATGCACAGTCACGATACAAAAAATAATGTCGGTAAAAGTAAACTTTTAGTAAAAATACAAACACATTAATGGGGTACGGATTGTTGGGCATAAGAATTCATAATCACCACAGAGATAAAAAAACACACTGAAAAACAGTTGGAAAGCACATTTTGAATGTGGAAGAGTTTAACCTGGCATGGCCTACAAAAATTGGTTGTAGACTGTCAATTTATAAGGCAACTGAAGAATGATCCAGCCGAAGCTTAGGAGGAGCCTCCGTTTGCAAAATTCCGATGAGAGGGATAGTTTCCCAGGAAGGTTACGTCTGTCCATGTGGGGGGGCGGGGCGGTGAGTACAGTCAAACGATCCAATCACCCGTGGAATGTGGAAGCGTTGAAGCCCGATAGTTCTGGGATGACAGTGATTAGTTTGCGAGGGTGTTAACAGAGTACTATGATAGGAGTGTTCTTTTGCATGTGCCTGCGTGGCCATGATGTCGCCTGCTTGACGAGGCGACCGATCCCGCAGATTTTTAGATAATAACATCTACGAAGATGAGGTTTGGCCTGGAACTGGGGCTTGAGTCGAAAACTGGAGTAAAAACCTCTTGGTCTTCAGGTGCTAATTCATAAGGCAACTGAGAAATGATCTACCTGAACCCGTAAATGAAAACCACTTCACTATGAACAAATACTTGTAGATTTTGTATGCAATTCGTCCATCACACCATCAGGCGTGAAAATTTAGTTTACAGCCAAATCAAACGTTTCGACTGTTTTTTGAGATCATGAAGTAATA